ACCTTTGAGGCAACTATAGGTCACACCTTCTGTATTTCAGCATACTGAAGGTAACTAACCATAGTTATCAGAACTCAGGAGCAAGTTGGATGTTTTGTGGTACACATTTAACATTTATTTTGTATTTCATATAGATAGGCTAGGTTGGTTTCTCAAGTGCTGATATTATAAGCCAACATTACAGCACCTTTATGTTTTTTTGAGACAACATCTTACTCTGTAGCGCACTGTGACCTCGAACTCCCAGTACTCTCTACCTCAGTCTCCTGAGTCCTGGGAGTACAGGGCGCCACCACACCCAGTTAACCACAGATTTAACCAGTTCACTGGGGTCTCCTTGTACAGCAGGCACTGTGCCCGAGTGTACTCGTGTTGAGTCCACCGAAGGTCCCTCGACAGCCGACTTCCTGTCTTGTGGGTCCTTACCTCTTTTACCCTTCTCATCTCCCTCTCCACAGTAGAGACCTCAGTAACAAAAGAACAACAACAAAAACACTTGTTCTGGTTGCTGGTTGATTCTTCTCCAGGGAGAGACACCCTACAGACCATAGTAATAACACAGAAGGGAAGGCAGCTTGGTGCCTACAGAGGCTTTAGGAAGCTGTATCACTCAGTGACTGCTGGCAACTTGGAGATGCCCTTGGGTCTGTAAAGCAGTGCACATTCTTTGCCTTCAGTGATGTATGTCATGGAGGGCTGTGACACCCCAACTTGCATATGCTTCCCTATTCAACAGCCCCCATCTCCAGCCTGAACTCCTCGTTCTTTAGTCTGCAGTCCAATTAGAGCAGCTCTTCCCACTCCCTCAAGCCGAGAGTCTCTGCTGTGCCCAACACAGTGCTGCCGCCTTCTAAGTATGTGTCAAGTCTTTGTTCACTGCTGCAAATCCTTGAGTGTAGACAGAACTGCAGAAGGCCTCTTCTTCCCTTTCCACACTAAAAATACCCCTGGGAGGCACATATTATCCAGACCTGGTGGCTTATACCTGTATGTAATCCAGTCACCAGAGAGGGAAGCTGAAGCCGAAGAACCTCTAGTGAAACTTTGTCAAAAGTGAGAGGAGGGGGCAGCCTTTACCCGTCTTAAGGTCGAGCCTGTGCATGTGGGTCTCACTGACCTATCAGTGTACGTCAGAAGTGTGTTCATGTCATCTCAGTAGAGGTTCAAAGTGATGTATGTGTACAAATTCAAGTCGTTGTCACTAGACACAATGCGGCAGAACTAACCAGCTTGCAAAAAAGGAAGCACCCTGAGGACAGAGGTTCTGCACTGTTCGACTCAATGTGGTGAGAGAGGAACACTGCAGGCTGCTCTGTGCAGATGGGACCCTGCATAAACCTGTGAAGAGGGCTCCACAGTTAGGGAGTTTGTTATGTTGGTCATTGAGGAATGAAACAGGGATTTGTAGTAGAGGTGGGGGAGGAGAATCAGACCCTAGAGAATGAGATGTGCTCCACCAGGGAGTGCTCTTGGGGGTGGGGGTGGGGGTGGGGTAAAATGCTTTTCCTGGCAGGCCGTCTACTGTGTGAGGTCCTCGGAACTTTTTTCTTTTGGTGACACTGTTGCTGGTGGCCTCGACTTCTGTACCCTTGTCTCGGGGTTGCCTCCTCTCTTTAGGTGTCTAACTTAGCAACTCCTCGCCCCCTCTCAGGCCACAGAACTCTTGTGAAGTTGGTCGGCTCCCGGGCGCTCTGGGGACCCTGCAGCGGGCGGGGCGGGCGGCCGGTCTGACGTGTCTCGGCGGGATTGGAGCCGCCGCCCTATATAGCAGCGGCGGCCCGGGCGCCGCGCCTCGGAGCGTCCCGGCTTCTCCCGCGCGGCGGCAGCGACAGACGGACACACTCTCGGGCGGCCACACTCACGAGTGAGAATCTGGCGAGCTGGTGGGCGGGAGTGCCAGTGGCGGGGCAGCGGGGGGCTTGCTGCCGGGCACGGTCGGGGTCGGTTCCCCAGCTCCGCGGCCGCACTGGCGCCTGGTCTCCCGCTACCGCGACGGGCGGGGGCCGCTACGTGTCACTCTGCGCATGGCCGCGCCGGAGCGCAGAAACTTTCCCAAGTCCGCCACGCGCCGCGGGTCTGTTTGCGGGCCCGGGCAGCCTAGACTAGTTAGTTCACCGGGCCGGCCGCCGCGGTGGGGGAGGGGAGCGACCTGGCCAGGTTGGTGACGTGGGCAACCGAGCCGGCCCCTCCCCCGCACCCCTTCCCCCAGCTCGGCCGCACCGGCCCTACGGGCTGTGGACAGGACCCGGGTCAGTGGCGCCCTAGTTCGCGCGGCAGGCTGGGATCTTCACCCGGGGCCCCTACGTCCCGCCCGGTGCCTCGCTGCACCTCCACCTGCGGCGTTCGGCTACGTGGTCACTGGAGGACTCCCGGCCCAAGTACTACTTGGATGCGCCCCAGGGTCCATGGGTGAAAAATACATTACGGAAAAATACCGAATTTGGATGAAAGGCTAGGAGGCCGAACAGGATACTGTCCCTTTAAGCCTGTCCCCGCCCGCGGGCGCTCTTGGCCGGTGGGAGGGCCATGCTGAGGTGGCATCTGCGAAAGTTCCTCCCAGGCTGGGTCTCTGACTTCCAGAGCTGGGTAAAGCACTAGGCCGGCCTTGGTGGTCACAGACTTAGAGTTTGTTATCTCAGCGGAGCTGGGTTGTCTTAATTTTGGAGTTTGTACTCTTGAGTGTTGGGGTGTGGGGGGACCTTCACAAGACTTCTAATGACATGAAAGTAAACAGTTTCACCTCTGGTTTTCGCTGCCCTCCATGCGAACTGCTCTAGTGTCTAAAGAACTTAGGTCCCTCTAGTTGAAGCTGATAATGCTATTCTTTCTGGAGCCTTCCTGGATTCTCTTCACATACTATTGCCCCTTACATAAGTAGTTGGCACAGCCTAGCACAGGGGAATCAGTTTAAATACTTCCTTATTCAGAAGTTAAAAAAAATCTTCACTTACCAGCCATTTCTGTTTTCTGCCTTAACCAGGTTTCAAGCTGCCACCGCTTCACCCTTTTCTTGTAGAAGTCCCTGTTGCTCCTGGTTCTTGGAGGAAGGGAGGCCTCCCTTGGCTTCTTCTGCCTCTCTTCCTTTAGTTCTAGTTCTGCGTGTTGAGAACTGACTTTTCTGCCATGTTTATTTATGCTCTAAGAAGCAATTTGTAAGTTGTAGATAAAGGTTTGCGTTGGGTGCTGAGGGACTGGAGACTGTAAAGGACCTGCCCCCACTGGAGAAGACTTGAGTGAGCCATGGAGCGACCAGAAGAGGAAAGAGTCCAGATTTCATCCTATCTTGATGAACCTTTACAGGGAGGCAGGGGAACTGGACTCCCAGGAGCGCTCTCTTTTCTCTGGTGTACTTGAAAATCAGGTTAGAGTAATGCTCCATCTCTTTCGGTCCTGACTTGTACGACTCAATCTAGCAAAGTGTGAGATACCAAATCTTGGGCTCCTAGTCTCTTGAAAGTTCAGCCAGTGGAGGCGCAGGACGGAGAGTGTGCTCAGCTGTGCTGACTGCTGTGCAGCGTGAGCATCCAGGTGCAGCAGGTCCAGCCTCTGAGTATTGTCAGTAGAGGTAAGGCCGGAAGCAGTGGCTGCAGGTGGGTGTAAAGCTGGAGGGACCGTTGCTTAGGTTCTGCTGTTAAAACAAATGCAGGTGGGCTCCAGCTGTGCATTACTGGAAACATAGAAGGCATGAACTGGCCTTCTGGAGTAAGTAAAGCTTCTTACTCCAGCGTCACCAGTGGAGATGGGTGTGTATTTGCATACAGGTATCAGGTACGTGCTTTAAATTAGTCTTTAATATGGTTTTGAGCCCTTAATTTAAAAAAAAAAAAAGGCCTGAATAGACTCTGTTCAATATATCTCTTAATTGTGATCCCCGGTGAGTCTTGTCAACCTGTCTGGAATTTTTTAGAAGTTCACTCTCCTGTCCCGGTTGCTAGAGGGTATTTGTGCTTGTCAGGAGCTCTGGAAACTGCTCCAATTTCTTCCTTGGCAGTGACAGTGAGCTTAGACTTGGAGGTGCTTTTGGTAGCTGCTTGATTGGCTGTGAGTACTCGTGGGAAGGGTGCCTAGGTGTGGGAGCGTGCCGAAAAGAATCTGTGCAAGGCAGTGTATGCTATAGGGCTGGTGTAGCTGTTCTGTACTCAAGACTTACCTTGTCCTGGAAAGCAGGGCACCGGCCAGTGACTGACCCAGAAACAAAGACATAGTTGAGGTCACATGGGCGGGTGAACCTGGTAAAGTGGGGTGGGCATCTGGGTTTAAGACGTGATAGCAGCACACACTTTGGCCTCAAATCAGGAGGCAGGGGCAGGTGGATTTCTTGAGTTCAATGCCAACAAGATCTACATAGAGATCTTTGTCTCAAGACCAAAAAAGGGTGTTTAGAGAATAGTTTTTGCCCTGCTCTGGTGGCCTTTGAATCTTGCAATTTTATGACCTGATTTTTAAATTTCTGTGGATTAGAAGGGACTGAAGGACCTTTTTTTTTTTTTACAGGACAATGGCAAGAACAAAGGAACTGCAAAATTAACAAGGATTCTTTTTGGTTTTGTTTTTGAGAAAGGTCTCACTTTGAAACCCAGTCTGGCCTCAAACTCAGAGATCCACCTGCCTCTGCCTCCCAAGCCCACCACTGTGGGCTCTGTCATGGAACCCTTGGGCACTCTGAAAGCTCAAACACTAGATCTGCATTCTGCAGAGTCAGCCTGACAGAAGTCACAAGGACCCAGTGTACAGATCACTTGTAAGATCCCTCGAAGGGTTGTCCTGAGAGTTCTAGACATTCAAGTTTTACTGAAATGTCTACTTCAAAGTTAGTAGCCTAACACCTGAGCTTTTGTAGTGTTTTCCCCTAAGAGGTCTGCCTAGCTGTTGGAATTACTGGAAGCCACATGTAAAGAATGTTTAACCCTTTGTTTGTTGAAAGGTGAAAGGATCTGAGTTAATAAAGCATGAATAAGTAACCTTTCTGGGTTTTTTTCTCCCTTTCTGTCCTATACCAGTAAAAGCTGGCAGGCTGACAGAGGCAACCTCGGGACGGACTTTCTGGCTACTGACCATTTTGCTGGTAAGTTTGAGTGCCCTTCCTGAAGACTTTTCTATTCGTGGAACACAAAGATGTGTAAGTTACTTCCTAAGTGTGAATTATGTTTTTTTCAGGATTTGGGGCTTTTAATACGCTTTAGGAATACTGAGCTTTCTAAAGTTGAAAGAGGTCTTACTTTTTTGTCATGAAGTTTGGGTTTTTTTTTGTTTGTTTGTTTTTGATACATTTTTTTGTGTGTGTGGCCCTAGCTGTCCTAGAACTCACTTTGTAGACCAGACTGGCCTTAGAGATCCACCTGCCTCTGCCTCCTGAGTGCTGGAATTAAAGGTGTACCACACCCAGCTGCATAATTTATTAAAGTACTTGCATTTGGCCAAGATGCGATGCTCATAAGACTGGTGCATAATGGTGTAAAGAAAATGAGTTCTTCCTCCCTCTGGTGTTGTGAAGCTGCCTAGAATGATTACAGAAGGGCAGAGAAGCTGATACCTGTGTCTAAATACTTTACAAGTAAGGGAGTGGGAACTTCAGAGCCAGTGTCCAGACTGTCCTAAAATAATGACTGCTGTGTGTGGAGCCAGTTTCCTCTCTTCTGAGTGAATCTCCCCACACTGGACAAGGGTGGCCTGAGATAGTCAGCAGGTTCAGGCATTTAGCACAATGTGTGCCTGCTTTACCGACACCATGAAGCACTGGGAAGTTTCTTTCCTAAGATGTTGAAGTGGTTCTTATGACCTCTGAATAAATACCGTGTACATCCTAGTTGCAATAATTGTCATTTTTATACTTTTTATAAGCACCAGGAGGCATATGTTGACCAATTAAGAGAATGATCCTGGGATTGATCTGTGCTAGAGCTGGGTCAGGTGGGTAACAGATTCCAGTAGTCCCGCCTGTGATTTGGGGGAGGGTAACAAGCTGTTACCAAGGCCCTCTCACTGGCTCCTACAGTGGATAGGTGGTAAAGATTGTAAGCAGTGGGCGTGCAATAAATAACAAGGTCTCTTGGCCAGGTCTTGTCTACTTTGTAACAGAGTCCCTGAAAAAACAGTGAATCTTGTGAGCTAGGACCCTGCATTTCCGGTGTTCACTTTCAGTTGAAAGCTTGAAGAATAATTTGTATCAGCCTTGTGAGGAAAATAAATACTATAGTTTCAGTAAGACTGAACCATTTGAAATAACAGTCCTATAGATCATTATGAGTTAGCTGTACTTGGATTTTCTCCTCCTTGATTACCTTTCTCTTGATGTAGTGTCTTACTAGGATTGTGTGTGGACGTGAGATCAACCATGAGCTCTGTTGCAGTTTTGACCCAAGAGAGTTTTGCTGAACATCGAAGTGGGCTGGTTCCACAACAGATCAAAGGTGACAGACCTTTCCCTTGTTAGCTTAGCTTCGGATACTGGGCTCCTGCTAATTTGTATTAGTTGGTTACAATTGGGTTGGACAGGTGTGAGGAATGACTCCAGAAACCGTGAGGTGTGTGAGCAGTTTCCTAGCAATCCAATTAATCTGACAATTGACAATTAATGGGATCCTTTACAGAATTGCTGCCCCAAATTATGGGCACGAAAATACTGGCTGTGAAGCATCCCAAGACGTTGTAATCGTAAAATCTGTGCTCTTGAAGGCCACTGGCCAAGATGAGACCAACACTGCCCAGTGGCCTTCAAGAGCACAGAATACAATTTAGAAGTTTTCCAAACCCAGGTTAAATAAAAGGGAGCAGGTGACAGCACCACCACCATCCCCCCCTTCACCTCATCCCCCACCCCCCAAGCGTGTGCCAGTAGTTTCAGATTAAAGCTTTGCTATTTAAATTAAACCAGGCTGGTCTGATCTCAAACTCATGAACCTTTTGCTTCTGGAATTGTAGACATGTGCCATTATCCACTTAATATACTTATGTACCCCAATTTTTGTAAAAATATAGTCATTGTAACATCTCAATATGAAAATACTTTAAAGCTGGGCTGGAGAGATGGCTCAGCCATTAGAGGCTAGGCTCACAACTAAAAATATCGTAAAGCCAGCTATTTAACTTTTAGTATATATTTATACAGAGCATTTGATTTGAATGTTAGGGTTTTTTTGGGGGAGTTAATCCAAAGTCTTTGGGGCTGACAAGACAACTCAGTAGGTAATGGTGCCTACTTGCCAAACTGGATTTGATCCCAGCACCTACACAGTTGAAGGAAAGAGCTGACTCCTGCAAGTTTTCCTCTGACCTCCATATGCAACTCAATGTGCGTACATATGCACATATGCAAATAAATACAGATCTTCCGAATTTTTCAAATAGAAGAATTAAGTTGTTTTAAGTTGTTAGAGCATTTTAAGTGGAATTGAGTATCATTTCTTACATTGGGAATGAATTAAACGTTTAAAATTCGCTTCTCAGCACACTTGACCGCACTCATCCCCAGTGCTTTGGCCATTCCTAAGACCCTGCTCGTTGTCTGACTCTCAGTCTTTGGAGACTACCTTCAGCCGTCTGTAGTTTCTCCTTAGAGTTAAAATGGCACTGCAGGAGTTCAGCCTCTGCTCACACCACCACCATCAGCTTTGGAAGCAGTGAGCTTACACTAGAGGCCTATCTAATTCCAAAGGTCGTCTTGTCCTCTCCAAGTCTGCAAGCTCCATTGTGTTTTTATATTGGGCCCTGCTACTGGTAGACACTACCTCAGCCCTAGGGATTTGAGATTATCCAAAACAGTCATATACTTGATTTTGTGGAGAATATGGTTAACTGGACAAAACCATGAACAAATTGGGCACCATGGACCCAGTTTCTTCGAGTCTTGCTGTTCCTGTCTTGGCTTGAGAGGACATCAGAGACAATTACCATCAGAGTTAATTTCACCATTGTACATTACAAAGGAAAATGTGGAACCTACCTCAAAAGTAGTTCTTTTGAGATTTATTTATTATGTATACAGTGTTGTCTACATGCATGCCAGAAGGCCAGACAGGGCATCAGATCTCATTATAGATGGTTGTGAGCAGCAATGTGGATGCTGTAATTTTAACCCAGGCCCTCTGGAAGAGCATCCAGTGCCCTTAACCACTGAGCCATCTCTCCAGCCCTTCAAAAGTAGTTCTTAAAAGCAATGTACTCTGTGCCAAAAGCATTTATAGTCATGGTTTGCTTTTTTTAACTATTGGAAAATATGAGGATCTAAGAAAAATCTGTCACAAGCTTACCTTTAAGGGTTTTATGTGTCTTACTACTAAAATGGGGCTTATACTGTCTGATATTTCATAGTAGAACCATGTAGAAGGTGAAGTTTCCATTTCTGGAATTGGGAGTCTCTAGCCTCATCCAGTTCTCACACTCAGGGTACTGGGCCTGATGACTACCTAAGGTCCTTTCCCATAACTGAATGAGGAGAGTGTGATAGCATCGCTCACTCACCATTGGTTTTTAGTGGGGGGTTTCTGCTAAAGCCTTTCAACTGTTTTTGTTCCTCTAATGTTGAATTTTAGTGTTTTCCTCCTAATGTGTACTCTCCTGTCTAGTTGCCACTTTAAATTCAGAAGAGGACAGTGACCCACCGACCTACAAGGATGCCTTCCCTCCACTTCCTGAGAAAGCAGCTTGCTTGGAAAGTGCCCAAGAACCTGCTGGAGCCTGGAGTAACAAGATCCGGCCCATCAAGGCCTCTGTCATCACTCAGGTAGAAACACCATTTCTTTTTGCTTTATTTGTTCCTTGTAGGGATGTGCAGTGATAAGAGCATTTGGGCTTGTTTGAAGTGGGGAGGTCTAAAAGATTCCTCCTCTGTGGAGCATACCTTTTGCCATGATCGTTCCATCCAGTCTCCCTGGCACTCTGGGCTGGCCCCCAGTTTTAGGTAGGCCTTCCTATCCATATGGCAGTCTAAGCTAATCTCTTGTTGGGCTTGATTGTGGGGATCACAGACCCTGGCCGGAAACCCACCCCTCCATCAGCCTGGGAGCAGGCAGCTGTGAGATAATGTTTACTGAAAACAATTTAGTGCCATAAAGCTCTTGTTAGGGCTCTGATAAGGGCTGGCTCACTGAAACACCATGACTTTGATCCCCCCTACGGCTAGATGCTTCTTCCTGCTCCCTGCAGTTTCTCCCTGATTCTGGGGCCAGAGATTAAACCACCAGCCAGGAGGGTGAGAAGTCTGGGAGAGCTGTGAGAGGTGTGTGAGAGCTTGGTTGGAGAATTGTATGTAGATGGATGGCAGAAGTCCTTAAAAAGGGAAGCGTTTTTTTTCTTGGGGAGCAGTTCTCCTAAGCCGACTTGGGAAGCATAAAGTTTTCTTAAAGCAACCGACCGGTCTCTGTGTCATCTATCCCGACCACCTCGCTACATTCTCGGATGCAGGCTGCTCAGCAGGTGCGACACTTGATGACACCCATCTTTAATCCAGCACTCAGAAGCATAGGCAGGCAGGTCTCTTGGGTCAGAAGCCAGCCAGAGCTTCGAAGTCAGATCCTGCAGTTTTTTGTTTTTAAAAACTAGTAGTCTGTATGTAAGCAGCTAACTAATTTCTGGTCTCCTTTGACTTCATTAGCCCTTCCCCTGAGCTTTTACGAGTGTTCGAACTGATGCCTGGTTGTGATAAGAAATTATCACCCATGTAACCATAACTCCTTGTCCTTGTGTACATAAGCAATTGAGACTTGATCTTGGAGGCCTTGCTGCTCTCTTGTCCTGTTAAAATATATCAAATGTATCTTTTGAATAGTTCAAACCTGTATCAGGGATAATTGATCCCTCTTACTTCCTCCACTCCTGCTCCTCCTCAGCTCTCCATAAACCACCTACCTGGCTCTTTGAGCAGTTTGTTATGCTTCAAACTTTTGATGTTGCCGGTGCCCTGTGTTCTCCTGTCTGCTGCTTCTGCTGTTCACTGTCATGGCTGCTGCTTCCTCTCCTCAGAAAGCTTTTCCGTTGTGTCCTTGGTGGTCGTGTCCTAGGCCCTTGCCTCCTTTTAAATCCTTCACAGACAGCTGGGCGTTGGTGGTACACGCCTTTATTCCCAGCACTCAGGAGGCAGAGGCAGATGGATCTCTGTGAGTTCAAGACCAGCCTGGTCTACAGAGTGAGTTTCAGGACAGCCTCCAAAACAATACAGAGAAACCTAGTCTCGAAAAACCAAACAAATAAAGAAATCCTTCAGACTTACTGTTCCTGATCCTCTTCATAGTTGTGCCAGCCTCCTGCCTCACTGGGTGATGTTTCTCCTTACTGCCTGCCTTACCTAGACACTGCTTAGTGAGTGAACGCTAGTCAGTACACGCTGCATGCGGTCATTGTTCCTCTTCTTTGCTGGGTTAACTTTGTCTTTGGGGGGTTTCTGAACAGGTGTTTCATGTACCCCTGGAAGAGAGAAAATACAAGGACATGAACCAATTTGGAGAAGGTGAACAAGCGAAAATCTGCCTTGAGATCATGCAGAGGACTGGTGCTCACCTGGAGCTCTCTCTGGCAAAAGACCAAGGCCTCTCCATCATGGTCTCAGGGAAACTGGATGCGGTCATGAAAGCCCGGAAAGACATTGTTGCTAGACTGCAAACACAGGTGGGTGTCCCTAGGCCCGGCATCCCAAATGACAGTTGCTTTACTGATCCTGGTGCAGTCCAGAGGACAGCAGAGTTTGGAACCTTTGTGATTTTAGTGATAACCACTAAATATGATAGCACTAGGGTACCTGTCAGTAAGGCTTTTCCTAGAGTTTGCGACACTTGGAAGCCAATGAACTTGCTAGGTAGGTAGTGATCATTAGTTTCTGGGCCTCAAACTCGGGAAGTAAAAGATCAGTTTTTTGTTTTTTGTTTTTCACTATTCCCAGCAGTCTGTTGCTAGTACTTGCAGTTCATTTGAGAACCATTAGAATAAAAAGCAAATCTGCAAGGCCAAGAAAAGGCAGAGAATCTTACTAAAGTGCCACGTGACGACTACCACCCTGTGGGTTTGTTCTGAGGTAGAGGTTACTCCCACTTGCTGCTGAGTAGCCTCTAGACAAGCTAGAGTCAGAGTGACCTGCTCTGCACTGATTGGGCCACCCAGTCTTTAGGATGGTTCTAAGCCCGGTAGCTTCATGGAATTTATACAATTCAGTGTCACAAAGGTGAAAGCATTGCTTGTGATTGGTGTAGCATTGTAGCTCTGAAATTCGATTTACTGGTTGTATGATTGAGAATTTTTAAAAGCAAGTTACAGGAATATCATTTCACCTGTAAATAGTTGATACTAATTATTATACTATATCTTACCTTATAAAAGATGTAAAGGTGTTCATATTTGACCCTTCTTTAGACTTCTGTCTCCAGATGTCTTTCAAGTTGGTTTGTTTAAATCTGTGTTCATTTGATTGTGGTATCACATGTCTCTTTAACATGCCTAGCCCTGGGTTTGATTACTTTCGTATTCATCTTGTTTGGTGGGGATACTTGTTATCACAAATGGATTTTGTTTTTGTTTTCCCATGAACTAATTTTGAGATTTGTTAGTAGACTTCGCTCATACGATTCACTGGTGATCTGGATAGATTCATTTAAAGTTGAAAATGATGGTTTTCTGCATCCTACCTTTATCAATATTTGATCTCAAAATGTATGATAGTGCTGGGGAGATGGTTTTGTAGGGAAAAGTACCTACTGGCAACCTGAATTCAATCTCTGAAGGGCCACATGTGGTAGAAGGGCGGAACCAATTCCCCCAAGTTGTCCTCCAGCAACACACACATAGATGCACATGAAGTAAATCAAAATGTGGTTTTTAGAGTAAGTCACTTGGTCTGGGGATGCTGTCAGTGGTAGGTAAAGTGTTCTTTTGGTTGTTGTTTGGGTTTTAGGGTTTTTGTTCTTTGGAGTCTTGTTTTATTTTTGGTGACAGGGTCTCTATATAGCCTTGGCTGTTCTAGAACTCTATGTAGACGAGACTGACCTCAACTCATAGAGATCCCTTGCCTTTGCCTTCCCAAGTGCTGGGATTAAAGGTGTACACCACCAACCCCGGCCTAATAAAATGCTTTAACTTGTACAAGACCCTAAGTTTGATCCTTCGCATTAATTAATTGGTTATAAAGGGGTTTTTTTTCCCCTTTACTATTTTTCTACCATCAGTCTTCAGCAGGTAATCGTCAAATTTTAGTACATCTTTGGATTACGTTGTGTTAGAATGTTTGAAGGCAAAAAATGTTAAATTTGTTTAGAATTTTCCAACACTTTCTGCAGTGGCTATAAACATGCTTGTGCCATTTGGTAGGTCCTACATAATCAGTATTTTACTTCTATACCTGGAGTATAAAAATTTCTCAGTACAAGGAGTTGCTGCTGCTAGTGACTTCTGACTCAGACCATATTGGTCTCTGAGCATATCTTTACTTGTGTCAGAGAGTCAGACTGTCATAGAACTCTTGGTGCAGTTCAGGCTGGCCTCTAACTCATGATCCTGCCTCAGCTGCCATGTGCTACCATGCTAAGGAGTTCTCAGTCATCATGAGCTTGGGGACTTTGGTAAGCTACCTTGTCTTTGACTAGAGGAGCCTCTCGGGCTTTCCTCTTGCAGGCAGCTTTCTGTTGCCACCCTGTAAACTGAATTTCTTAATTTCTAACACAGAAAGATAACTCAGATTAGTCTTAACTATATGCTTCCAGAGATCTCTGATCTTGAGATCTTGGTCTTTGCAGGTGGGAAATGTAGTGTAGAAATGCCAGGCTTACTGTGGTTGTTGCATAGGGTTAGTCAGGTTCCTGAATCTTCTCAGGGGGAGGTTTTTGAGAAGGGGTGTCATGTGTTCTATTTCTGCTTAACATGAAAAATGTTATTCATTGTTTACTTTTACAAATAGAAACAGAATATAACTTGCCATAAGCTCTGATCTCTGTTCTTTTTTAAATACTATTTTCTATGGTGTCTTGTATATCAACAAATACTGCTTTCCTCAGTGCCCATCAAGTCCTACACTACTGAACCACACCCCACATTGCACCTCCTAATGCAGTTGTTAAAGTGAAGTTCTTGACTTCTGAAGTCTTTTGTTGTTGTTGTTAGTAATTTCTCCATGCAGTCAGATGTTTTCTTTTGTCTCCTATAATAGAAAAGTTTGGGCAGTGGTGTAGATACACTTGAAATAGCCCTGGTTGGGGCCAGGGAAGGGTCCCTGTGATCGTTGCATGGTGTTTGAGCTGTCATGGTTAAAATGGGATGGCTTGTGTTTGTTAAGCACCCTAAGTAGAGAACATTCAGGAAGAAGGTGCGCTATCAGAGCCCTAAGTGAGTGTTGTGTTGTTTTTGGTCTCTCCTGTTACAGGCCTCAGCAACTGTTACCATTCCTAAAGAGCACCATCGCTTTGTCATCGGCAAAAACGGAGAGAAACTACAAGACTTAGAACTAAAAACTGCAACCAAAATCCAGATCCCACGCCCAGATGACCCCAGTAATCAGATCAAGATCACTGGCACCAAAGAAGGCATCGAGAAGGCTCGCCATGAGGTCCTTCTCATCTCTGCTGAGCAGGTGAGACCTCTGAGTGGCCCCTCCCCCTGCACTCTGCCCCTGCACAGCCCCAGCCTTGCTCCTAGTGAGCGGCAACTTTGGAAACTAGAGGCGCCATGTGTATGTGAGGCTTGACTGTGACTTTGTCGAGCTCTGCTGTTCCACTGTGTTCTCATCAGCTCTTTCTGCCCTGTGTAGGACAAGCGTGCTGTAGAGAGGCTTGACGTGGAGAAGGCCTTCCACCCCTTCATCGCTGGGCCGTACAATAGGCTTGTGGGTGAGATCATGCAGGAGACAGGGACTCGTATCAACATCCCTCCACCCAGTGTTAACCGGACAGAAATCGTCTTCACTGGAGAGAAGGAGCAGCTGGCCCAGGCCGTGGCTCGTATTAAGAAGATTTATGAGGAAAAGGTACAGTATGGAGGTGCCAGTTAATGGGATTTGAATGTGGGAATTTGGGTAATGCCATAGTTCGCCCTGCACCCTTTTGCCCTTGGGCACAAAGCTTACTATGTGTTTAGTGCTTGGTGGCCACATTTCCCTCCTGACCTACTAGGTACGCTGTAGGGTGGTGTTTGGTTTTATGTGTGTCCTTTCTCGGGGCTGCCATAGGATTGGTGTGTACTTTTTAGAGGGGACTTGTAGCTTATTCTGACTTCGAGGTATGAAACCTGTTCCTTTTTGAAAAAGCAGACTAGGAGTACAGCTCTGGCAGCGCACTTGTCTAAGAGGCACAAAGCCCCGGGTCAGATTCCCAGCACTGGGGGGGTGGGGGAGAGAACGGGGAAAGCAGTAGATAAACTCAAGTCTTTGGTTGCCATAAACAGCCTTGAAAGGGACCAGACTCAGGGGAAGAAGACTAGGTACTTGAGAAGTAGGATTCCTGGGGAGGCTGCTTATGGTCTTCACTTATTAAGAACCACATCTTGGTCCCCTTCTGACTTTGTTGGTAGTAACAGTCTGTCCACACTGCCTGTGTCTCTCTCCTATCTTTCTTGCTGACTACCTTTAATTAGAAGAAAAAGACAACAACCATTGCGGTGGAAGTGAAGAAATCTCAGCACAAGTATGTCATCGGGCCAAAAGGCAATTCACTGCAAGAGATCCTGGAAAGAACTGGAGTTTCTGTTGAGATTCCACCCTCAGACAGCATATCTGAAACTGTGATACTTCGTGGCGAGCCTGAGAAGTTGGGACAGGCATTGACTGAAGTCTATGCCAAGGTAGTTCCCTCTAAGAGTAAAGTTTGCTTTGATCATTTCTGGGGTCCATATGGACTGGCTCTTTGTTGGTATGTCCTGGAGACCCAGACACAGGTAAAATGTGCCCAAATTGGGGGGGGGGGCACTCACCACTGAGTATGAACACTGAATGTGTGTTCATGTGCAAGCGAGCATGTGTATGTGCTAGTTACATGTATGTAGGTATGAGTAGAGGCCAGAAGGCAATCTTGGGGTCATGACTCAGGAGATGAGACAGCCTCCCAAGTGGGCGGGGCTGGCAGCAAACACAAGTCCCACAGCCTTTAGGTCCCCAGTTGTAGTAGTGTGATTACAAGCATGCATTACCCCATCCAGCTCAGGATGGAAAGCGGGTCCCCAGCTCACAGCAAGTGCTTCCTGACTGAGCTGTGTGTCCCAGCCCTACCCCTGTATCTGCTATGAGCGTGATCTGACTGCTGGACCAGGCTGTCCTCAAACTGTTTAAAAACAAAAAACTACCTGCTTCAGTGTTTTCAATGCTGACTGAGCTGTGTGTCCCAGCCCTACCCCTGTATCTGCTATGAGCGTGATCTGACTGCTGGACCAGGTGTCCTCAAACTGTTCAAAAACAAAAAACTACCTGCTTCAGTGTCTTCAGTGCTGGGATTAAAGGAATGCACTGACACTTGCTTTAACATAACTTGAGCTCCACAGACCCACAACTGTTTCCCTGTTTCTGTTGTCTCTGTCCTAGGCCAACAGTTTTACAGTTTCCTCAGTCTCTGCCCCTTCCTGGCTTCACCGTTTCATCATTGGTAAGAAAGGGCAGAACCTGGCCAAAATCACTCAGCAAATGCCAAAGGTAGGGAAACATTTTTAACCGACTATTGTGAAATTGCCTGACATGGTTTAGTTTTTGCTATTTGTCCTGTGGTTACTTTGAAGACTATGGAACGATATCAGGCTTCAGTTATCCTGTTGATACACTCAGCTTCCATTAATAACATGGGAGACCATAGTAAATGTGTTCAGATGGCTTGGATGAATTGGTTTAAGAATGTCTTAACTGTGAACTTAGTAATTACAGTGTAATGGTTTCATTAATGATGTGAAGAGCAGCGCTTGGACAGGGACTTGAGTGTAGTGGTTTCATTAATGTGAAGAGCAGCACTTGGACAGGGACTTGAGTGTCATCACCCTTCTTGCACTACGTTGTCCTTACCAGGAGACAGCAAAGAGCCCTTGTCATTTTTATTCTATGTCTGACTTACTTGTCATTTTATTTTTCTAGCCTTAGAAGTACTAATGATTTACTCAGATGTAGACAGACTGCTCTCCCTTTTCAACTGCCTTACCCTTTTTATGTTAGAAACAGCTTATGTGAAAAGTGAGTTACTCTATCACTTTGTTTTCAAAATGTTTGTCCTTGGTCTGAGTATATAGCTGCTAAAACATTGCTGAGAAAGTATGAAGACTAGATAGAGTATGGATCCTCAGCTCCCATATTCACCAACCTATAATTCTAGTCTTGGAGCCAGCTCCAGGTTTCATTGAGAGACCCTGCCTCTTGAATAAGGTAGAAGAATCGCCAAGGATGATTCTTGACATCTACTTCAGGTCTCTACAGACATACTCACGTGGATTTATACACAAAAATAACAGATACTGTCTTTGCCATCTTTTTCTCTGATTGTATAAATCAAAATGAAGTCTGCCTTCAAAAGGGGTGAACATGAACATGTCTGTACACATGGAGGACAAGTACAATGTGAAGGGAGAAGAAGGTGTGGCAGACCTTGGCCCCATGCTGTTTAGTGCCATCCTTCAACCCTTCCTTTCAGCTTTGTGGTGTTGGTGGATGAGACCCTCAGTACCTATACAGTACATAGTGGCTGGATCATTTGACCTTAACCATTCTTTCCCTCATTTTGGTCTGGTAGGTTCACATTGAGTTCACAGAAGGTGAGGACAAGATCACCCTTGAGGGACCCACGGAGGATGTGAGTGTAGCCCAAGAACAGATCGAAGGAATGGTCAAAGACCTGGTAAGGGCCCCATCTGCGTAGAACATTTGCTGGACTACAGGGAAGGCTCTGGTGGGGGGGGCACATAAAAGTCTTGTCATTCAGGTCTTCAATGGGTAGCTGTGGAGACAGAGGAGCCTTGTGTGTGTAATAGGTTCTGAAACAGAAAATGACTGAGGTCCCAGAGCTCTAGGTAGAGGAAACTGTTTTGAGGTTGGGACCTTTGAGGGTGACAAGGGGACAGTCTTCTAAAAATTTCTTGACTGTTGAGATAGGGCATTTCCTGCTAGGTGTGTGGTGGTGCACACCTTTAATCCCCAGCACTTGGAAGACAGGGGCAGGTGAATCTCTGTGGAGTTGGAGGCCAACCTGTTGTACAGAGAATTCCAGGACAGCCAGGGCTACATAGATAAACTTTGTCTGGGGGGCAGGGGAGCAATTTCTAGTATCTGCTATATTTCTGAATGAGCAGGTGTATCTTCTAGCCCAGAAGCATTCATCTGTGAACTTTGTTCTTCCCTTGTAGATTAACCGGATGGACTATGTAGAGATCAACATCGACCATAAATTCCACAGACACCTCATTGGGAAGAGTGGAGCCAACAGTGAGTAAGGCATGATGGGTGGTGGCGGGCCCTAACACCCTGAAGCACCGAGGAAGACCCCGAAGATGAGGGCCTTTGTCACTTTCTTGCTTTAGCCTCCTGAGTGCTGGGTAAATATGCCCAGCAAGGTGCTGCTGTCAAAAGAAATTTGGTTATGGAACTTCTAAAGAGACCACTTTCCTTTTCCAGTTAGGCCAAGTTAAATTGTCACTTTCAGAAATCAGCACTTTCTGTCTAACTGAAAAGCATATCTTTACTTTTTAATCCACCTGCTACACTTAGTCCACCAGTGTTTGTGCGACTCTTTTGTTTTTTGAAACAAGGTTTCTCTCTGTAACAGTCCTGGCTGGCCTGGAACTCACTCTGTAGACGAAAGAAATCTGCCTGCCTCTGCTGCCCAGTTGCCAGGATTGGAAATTTACACCATCACGGCCCATCTTGGGATTTGTTTGTGGGACTCTTATAGTTACCTTCCCAGACTTGTGCCCAAGTCATCCACTCAGAGAGAAGGTCAAACTCTAATACACTAATCAGTCATTCCTATTAATCAAAATTTGCAGTGTCTAAAAAGCAAAACAAAAGAACCTAGTTGTGCGCTCTATCAGATTGCAAAGTTTCTAGGGCATTGTCCTCCAGCCTTGAGTATAAGCTGCAACTGCCCTAAGAACTTTTGTGTTGAAGTTTATTTGTATTTTTCTTTGTCCTAAGTCAACAGAATCAAAGACCAGTACAAGGTGTCTGTGCGCATCCCCCCTGACAGTGAAAAGAGTAACCTGATCCGGATTGAGGGGGACCCACAAGGCGTCCAGCAGGCCAAGCGGGAGTTGCTGGAGCTTGCCTCTCGAATGGTAAGCCCAAGAGATGCTGCCTTGTGCCTGTTGGCTACCTCTAAGGAAACACATTGTTGGAATGTGTGGTCCAGGAGCCATGTTTCTTCTGCTGTCCTCCTCAGATCACCAGCAAGTCTTGTCTCTCTTGACCCTGAGTGCTAGAGAGCAGAGGTCCCATGTGCCTGACTGCAGTGTCACAGGGGGGCTATCCTTTCTAGACTTTTGAAAGTCACTGCAGTCCCACTCTTGTGGGCCTGAGACACCTAGTGATTGAGGATCATGCTGCAGTGACTCCTGACTGGCTTCACATGGAAGTCACTGCCTTTGAGAGTCCAAAAGGTTAATTGAGTCAGACTTGATAATTACCTCTTACTGTGTGCTGGTCCCAGTTCATGTTCTTACCCTAATTCCCATACTAGATAGAAGCCTCAAACTGGAGGAAATGTTTTATGAGTGGTTCTTTCTTCCCGGTAATCCAGGGTGAGGTCCAGCCTTTGGCTCTATTCTGAGCTCGGGATCCAGGCCAGGATCTGCTGTTGGCATCATTGCCTCCTGCCTTGTGTACCTTGCCCTGGAGTATGCTCTACCTGTACGGAATCACTGTCAGCAGATACCAGTCTTCATGGAGTCTATCTCTGCCTGCTGCTCTTCCTACTGACATTTCAGTGGGGACAGTGGAGGGCACTGAGACTGGTGTGGGTTCAGTGGCCTGTGAAGAGCCATCTTTCCTCATTCTCCGCACAGGCAATGTGGTCTAAGCCCATTGTACTCGAGTGTTTCCTGCTATGTAGGGTGTTGAATTTGTAGATATGGTGGAAACAAGTGCTTCTGGCTCAGTGTGGTGGTCAGTGCTATTGTGACTGTACTTGTGGCTAAAGGGCCCTATGGGTCCATTCTTTAACTGGACTATGTTTCAGAAGATAGCTCACCACCAGTGTGTAACGAGGTGAAAGATTTGGCGTGTTCTTTCTGGAGACTGCTGCGGACAGCCACTCGAGCACCAGCTCACATGGTGCCTGCTGGCAGGGGCTGGTGGGTGAACGTTAGTAAGTAGCCTTTCTTCTGATGAATGGCGTCGTCCACTTTAATTATATTTTAGGAAAATGAGCGTACCAAGGATCTAATCATTGAACAAAGATTTCATCGCACAATCATTGGGCAGAAAGGTGAACGGATTCGTGAAATTCGTGACAAATTCCCAGAGGTAAAACTTCCCCCCGGGCTAGAGAGATGGCTCAGAGGTTAAGAGCACTGACTGCTCTTCCAAAGGTCCTGAGTTCCATTTCCAGCAACCACATGGTGGCTCACAGCCATCTATAATGAGATCTGGTGCCCTCTTCAGGCCTACAGACATATATGTAGGCAGAATACTGTATGTATAATAAATAAATCTTTAAAAAAAAAAACTTCCCCCAAAGCACTCCCCCTTTTCTTCCTTTGTTTCTGTTTTGTTATTTCTTCTTGTTACTGAGCATCAAACCCTCAGGGGCCTTGTACATGCCAGTAACTGCACCATGTCTTAAGCTATGCTGCCAACCCCAAAAGCATCCTCTAATTTCTATGAACAATAACAATTGTCACCTGAGGAATTGTCAATATTTCACTTTAAAAACATACATGTTCATAGGCATGCATACCACTGCGGATATATGGATTGGGATCGGGGACAACTTGCAGGTGTTGGTTCTCTTCTGTGTGAGTTCTGAGCTCAGGTCATCAGGCTTGGTGGCAAGCATCCTTAACCACAGATCCATCTTGCTGCCCCAATGTTTAGTATTAGAATAATTGTACACTGTCTCCTGGTGTTTTTTAGGTTATCATCAACTTTCCAGACCCAGCACAAAAAAGTGATATTGTGCAACTCAGAGGCCCCAAGAATGAGGTGGAGAAATGCACTAAGTACATGCAGAAGATGGTTGCAGACCTGGTAGGCGGCTTTCTGCACCCTCTGGGCTTGGGAAGCAGGGCTTCCGCAGAACCCTTGAGTGCCTGCAGGAGCTCTGCTTGCTGTCTTGGGGGCTTGGGACAAAGTGGTGGTAGAACCTCTCTCAGTACCTTGGTGCTTAGTGTACACTGTCAATAATTGTCAAGTGAAGATGCCAGTTTCCTGTCCCCCCTTTATTTTTCTCGAGAGGATCTTCAAATACACAGGTAAAGAGGGAGTAGTTTGTAGTAGTAGTTAATTCAAACTCTTTCTGCAAAAATTGAACTGGGAAGGGCAGCATAAATGCACATATCTGTAATCCTAGCACCCAGAGGCAGGAGGATCTTGAATTCAAGACAGTCCAGGCCACATAGTAAGAACCTGACTCCAAAAGGAAGAAAAAATAGTTGTTAAAAAAAAAAAATGCTAAGCTGGAAGGTTTTGGAAATGTGAAAAGAGAATTGATGGAAGAACCATAGATCACCATGGTCACATGAGGGGTTCCTTTGTAGTTTCTGTCTCCCCTGAGAGCTATCACTGAATTACTGCCATGAAGCTACTAGGTGCTGGGCTTCTTAGGGTACCAGGGCCTACAAGCCTTGGCATTGTTGAAGCTATGTGGGCAGACTTGTTTATGTCTACATTGAAAAGTTACAGATTCTTTGGCCTGCCACTTCTTCTAAGAGGGCTTTCTATAAATTGACATGTCAACTTAATTAGATGGTGAACAATATTTGTCTAATTTTTCCTTATGCTAATCAAGTAGGTGGGTCTGTGTTTGCCGGTGGTATATACTTGAGTTCTGTGTAGCTGTGGGGGATAAAAGGAAGACCTCACTCTCTGGCAGGAGTAGTTACTGTGCCACTCTCTTGTCTTTCAGGTGGAAAATAGCTATTCAATTTCTGTGCCAATCTTCAAACAGTTTCACAAGAATATCATTGGGAAAGGAGGCGCAAACATTAAAAAGGTGATCAGCTCATCTTGCCCAGCCCTAAAGCCTTTGGACTCCAAGGAAGGACTGACCTTCCTCCCCAGCCCTGTGCTCAGCTGTGTCTACTGTAGGAAAACTATTTGTCTTCTTATGTACCTCTCCTTTAGATTCGTGAAGAAAGCAACACCAAGATTGACCTTCCTGCTGAGAACAGCAACTCTGAGACCATTGTCATCACTGGCAAGAGAGCCAACTGTGAAGCTGCCCGTAGCCGGATTCTATCTATCCAGAAAGACCTGGTAATGGGGGATGGTTTTTGGTGGGACTCTTTATCCCCTAGGCGAATCTTCTGAGCCTGTGTGCAGCCCAGCTTTAAGCCCAGGGAATGTTAATCACGTGGTCAGCAACTCTCTACTTCTGTGTCTCGGTTCTTACATACTTGGCACTCAGCAGTGATGCCACTTGTTCTCATGTTTGACCCAGTGCTAGCAACTTTGAGACTTTTCTTCGAGACTGGGTTTCTCTGTGTAGCCCTGGTTGGCTGGCCCGGAACTCACTTTGACAACCAGACTGGCCTTGAACTGAAAGTGACCTGACTGCTTCTACCTCCCCAGTGCTGAGATTAAAGGTGTGAGCCACCACACCTTGACATTTTCCTTTTATTAATTTTTTATACCACTTGAAAATCGTTTCTGTGGCTGGAGGGATGGCTCGGTGGATAAAGACATGATTTCAGAACCTTAGTGTATGTGTGTGTGTAGACGTCCAGATGGAACTGGAGACAAGAAAATCCCCACAATCTCAGACCAGCCAGCCTAGCATATGAAGTGGATGACGGAATTTTTCTGTCCTACCTGGTCCCTCAGCCATTTAGTCCCAAATGAACACACATAAATTGTTTGGCCAGTGACTCGGGCTTCTTATTTGGATAGTTCTCTTATTAATCCAATCTGTGTATGTATTTCCTCATGGTCTTGGCTTACCCTTGATGCCCCGGCCTCTGCTTCCTGTTGCAACTACATGGTATCTCTGACTCCACTGTTACCTTTCTCTATCCCTGTTTGGGTTTCCTGCCTGGTTAAATCCTGCCTGTCCATTGGCCAAAACAGCTTTATTCATCAACCAACAAGAGAAACATAAATTGACAGCATCTCCATCATCTCTCTAAGTAAAAAGGAAGGTTTTAACTTTAACATAATATAATTATATATAACAAAACATTATCAAGCAAGAACTATAGTTACCAGTATTTAGTTGATTGATATTTGGCGAAATTTAAAGAAAATACTCTATGGAGCAAGGGGGAAGATGAGGATGAGCGCCCAAGATTGTCCTCCTTGTGTGTGTCTGCATGCACTCTCACACATCACAGTTTTAAAAGTAAAGCAAGCTGAATCTCAACATGTCCTCTAGATTTTGTTTAGCTTTTAAAAAATTAACATGCAATAAGCTAGAAATGTTTTCATTGTGCAGTTTGATAATCTTGATTTTTGTACACCCCTGGAATTACCCTATTATGGCCTTTTCTGGGGAGACATAAGCAGATATCTTTTCATAATATATATGGCACCAACAGCACATCAAAATAGCTGGTATACCCGAGTCCCAGGTTGGTAAACCAGTGAGTTTATTGGTCACTTTCCAGAACATGAATGTGACCACTTGTGACAGTGGCATCTCTGGGCCTCACTGCAACACTTGGAGACGTCTTAGACAATTAGAAAACGTCCTCTCATAATTGTTACTGCATAATATATAACCTTAGGGAGGGTCCTTGTGAATCTTCTAAGTTTCGAGACATTCCTGAGACTTTGAAGGGTTTTCTTAATTCCTGAGCTTTTAATAAATTTCATGTACGCCCTGAGACATGAGCTTTGCTCCAGGAGAAAATTTGGTTTTGTTTGTTTACTGGGTCTGGCAAGTTAGCCTTGCTTGACCTGGAACTCAGCAGAGATCTGCCTGCCTCTACCTGGGATTAAAGTTGTGTACCACTACACCCAGCCTAGAGAGAAAGATTTAATTCAGAAATTATTATACAGCACATGAGTGGAATTGGTGACTAATATTCTTGTTGTTATGTACTTTCGTTCATTCCTTTTTAGGGTTGTTAGACAGGATCACACCTGGCTGTATCTAGTTTAGGTTCAGGTATCTTCTACTGCTGAGGTTACGCATCCCAGACACTCCGCATCATGCCAACCACTGAAGGTGGTACTCCAGGCTATGACTGGGGTACAAGCACCATCCTTCCAGTCCCGGGCTGCTGTGCCGCCCAGGTTAATGTGTGTGACTCTGGTCTGTGTATTCACACTGCCTCCTCGTTCATCCCTGGCTGATAACCATTTTTTCACCTTGCCTGTTTCTCATTACCACTGTCTTCATTAAAACCACTTGTTTGGGTAAAGGGTAAATTCAGTCTTTATTTCATCATGACTGAAATCAGAATCTTTTTGGTTTTATGAAACAGGGTTTCTCTGTATTATTTTGGAGGCCGTCGGTCCAGCCTGGCCTTGAACTCACAGAGATCCACCTGCCTCTGCCTCCTGAGTGCTGGGATTAAAGGCGTGCACCACCACCGCTCAGCTGAAATCAGAATCTTTTAAGAAGAAAATTTGTCTATAGACTTACTAAGTCACCTGCCAGCTACCTGCAGAATTGACTGAAGCAGCAGATGACATTGCAAAGTCATGACTTTCTCTTATGCCGTGTGTGCCTTCCTGCTGGCCTACACCCAGCATGTCTTAGAAAGTCTCCTCCATCCTGTTGGTTCAAGCATTTTCAGGCTGTAGCTGCATTCTTTTCTTCTGGCCTTTTCTCACCACACAACATTGTAACTTCCTCTTAATGTTCTATTTGATTTCAGGCCAACATAGCGGAGGTGGAAGTCTCAATCCCTGCCAAACTTCACAACTCTCTCATTGGCACAAAGGGCCGCCTGATCCGCTCCATCATGGAGGAATGTGGTGGAGTCCACATTCACTTTCCTGTGGAGGGTTCTGGAAGTGACACAGTTGTCATCAGGGGTCCTTCCTCAGATGTAGAAAAGGCCAAGAAGCAGCTCCTGCACCTGGCTGAGGAGAAGGTGAGTCACTGCTGACTCTCCCTTTCTAAGTATGGAAAACCTTAAGTTAAAAGACACTTCTGTGTACAAATACCCACACATAGGAAATTAGAAAGTAGGGACTTTGAAGGTGGAGTTTGGGGGGAGCAGTTAAGGTTTCAGGATGGATTAAAATAATGATTTATTATAAAACTCAATCTTTATGTGTAGTTCTGGGATTTGACTACGACAGTCCTCTGTCCTCCACTGCCATCAAAATTTATTAACTACCACCTTTTCCCAAAGATTCTCCATTGGTCCTTCTATTAGTCCCCCATGGGCTGGCATGGTGGTGCATGCCTTTAATCCCAGCAGTCTGAAGGCAGAGACAGGCACGTCTCTGACTAGGCCAATAAGGGGTACATAGTCACAAAAAAAAAAAACTAATGAAACAAACTCTTGCTGGTCTGAATAGACCTTTCTACATACAGGTTTGGGATGGCCAGCCTTATAGGCCAGCATGTAAGCAGATGGGGACTCCTTCCTTCAAGTTTGGTTTCTCATATTAATTTTTTAGTTATTGGGGTGAGGGGGAGAATAAGGATAGTTTGGCTAAGTACTTACTGCTCTTACTCTGAACTAGAGTTCAGTTCCTAGCATCTGTGTCTCTGGGTGGCTGACAACTCCCTGTAACTCAAACTCCAGGAGACCAACACCATCTTCTGGTCTCTGTGGGCAATGCACTTTTTTTTTTTTAATCTAAAAGGAAAAATATTTTCATGGTCAGGGTAGGACTGGAGTTTGCATCCTCAGAAACCATATAAAGCCAAGGGGTGTGATTCCCCATCATAGTCGTAATTCTTGGGCAGCAGAGTCAAAATTCTCCAGAGCAAAAAGAAAATTTAATGTATTTTATTTTGTATGCAGTGTTCTGTCTGCAGGCCAGAAAAGGGAGCCAGATCTTGTTACAAATGGTTGCAAGTTACCATGTGGGTGCTGGCAATTGAACTCAGGACCTCTGAGAGCAGTGCTTTTCACTACTGAGCCATCTCTCCAGCCCCCCAAAAAAATTTTTTATTAAAAATTGCTTGGGCTGTTCTGATCCTTTTTTTAACATGGACTCAACTGTTATTCCTGTTTTTAGTGATGCTGTAAATAGATATTTTCAATTTCCTATGGTTAGCAGGTAGAAATACATTATTTTGCATACTACTTATAATTCTCATAGCATCTTTGTCATTTCTGTCTTGTATATAAAACTCTCGTGTCTGTGAGTAGGCACATGTGTTCCCCTAATCTGGTAGAAGAGGTAGGGCAACCTTGCCTGGCTAACCCTTTGGTGTAGTTTGCCGTGGGTCTTTGTAGCTGCTCACCAGTAAGTGAGGATGGTTCCATATCTTCTGAGCTGGAGACTGTTTGAGGGAAGTGAGCACTGGATTTTGTCCGACTCTTGGTCTGGGCACACTTGACATGGCCATATGTGGTATCCTATTTGCTTTTGTTTTGTTTGTGAATGTTTATCCAACCTCTTGGTTTTACATAATGTCACGTGGCCTAGTTGATTTACTTTTGTGAGTGTATAACATGCCCAATGACAATCTTAAGATCCTTCTGCCTCAGCCTCTTATGCTGGGATTGCAGTTGTTTGCCACACTAGTTTTTAAATAATGCTGTTGTTTATGAACATCTTATCTAAGGAGTAATAGATCTTTATGGTAGTAGTTGGTGAGACCAGTCAGTGCTTTAACAAATTCACTCAGTCTTGTCTAACTCATATTCTTCACGCCTTTGGAGCACTTGATATGTGTTTGGTCTGGAAGAATCTGAGAAACTGGGAAAGCCATGGCCCAGTAGACCCTGCTCTCCTCAGGGCTTGTACTCTGCCAGTTTGGCACGACACATTAGCAAGCCTCTGGTAGGTAACACATGGCTCGGAGAAGTTTAGTCCTTGCTGATAAATACCAGGTTTTCTGCGTCTTTCTGGTGGCTGTGGAGGAAAATGACTGGGTGTTCCTGTTTGTTGAGGTTAGGGTTGATAATTCCATTGGGTGTGGGGCACTGATAGGACACAGGACGCTACAGATGCATAGAGAGAGCGCACCCTACTTCTCAGAACTCTGGCACACTGGTCCAGGCAGACTGCGAGGGCCAAATATACATGAAGTTTATTTCTGCAGCAAACCAAGAGTTTTACCGTGGACATCCGAGCCAAGCCAGAGTATCACAAATTCCTAATTGGCAAAGGAGGAGGTAAAATCCGAAAGGTGCGAGACAGCACTGGAGCCCGCATCATATTCCCAGCTGCCGAGGACAAGGATCAGGACCTGATCACAATCATAGGGAAGGAGGATGCTGTCCGTGAGGCCCAGAAGGAGCTGGAAGCTCTGATCCAGAACCTGGTAGGTGGCAGGCCTTGCCTGTCAGCGCTGCTCATGCCGTGGTAGAGTAGGTCTTCAATTCCTTCTGTTTGTACCGCAGGACAACGTGGTTGAAGACTACATGCTGGTGGACCCCAAGCACCACCGCCATTTTGTTATCCGAAGAGGGCAGGTCTTGCGAGAGATTGCTGAAGAATATGGCGGGGTGATGGTCAGCTTCCCGCGCTCTGGCACACAGAGTGACAAAGTCACCCTCAAGGGTGCCAAGGACTGTGTGGAGGCAGCCAAAAAGCGCATTCAGGAAATCATTGAGGACCTGGTGAGTGCCCAAGGGGCTCTGATTGGGCTCTGGTCAACATTGTGTGTCGGAGTGAGTCCATAGAGCAGTCACATAACAACCGTGAGAGTGTTCCCTTCTCCAGAGCCGCTCGTGGTCTCCCTGCAAGGCCTTATGCCCCCTCTGCTAATTGTCAGCCTGGTGGTTGTTTACTGAGTCCAAGGCTGTGTCTAATGTGACTGCCACCAACAGACAGTGTCTCATGGGCAGCTCCTGCCGTGAGGCAGCACTTCTGGTATATAAAGCAGGAATTGTACATTCAGTCTGTGTAATAAAAACTGCTGTAGGTTCTATTTCACTAGAACCCACTGTAGGAGCCCCCCCCCCCCAACGCCTTGTACCCCTTCCACTCAGTCGTGCTGGAATCTGTGGACTAGTGGGGAAGATGGTAGGGAGAATGCTATTCACTGACTTACAGACTCTGGCCTCCGCTCTTTCTTGTGTCTACCTTCAGGAAGCTCAAGTGACAGTGGAATGTGCTATCCCCCAGAAGTTCCATCGATCTGTCATGGGCCCCAAAGGTTCAAGAATCCAGCAGATCACTAGGGACTACAATGTTCAGATTAAGTTCCCAGACAGAGAGGAGAACCCAGGTAGGTTTGCTTAGAGCTCTGTGGTGATCACATTGATGGTGACTGGAGTGGTGCTTGGGTGCTAACCATGGATTTCAGGTTCATCCTCTTGGTCTCTAAAACACAGAAATAATTCCCATAAATGGGCCAGGAGCTTCCTTTGTCTTACTAGGAAATTGCTGAGAGTCTACTTTTGCACTCTTTTCTAGGACACTATTTGCGTAGTAGTGGTTTGTCTGCACAGCCCCAAAAAACCCTCTGTGTGGTGGGTTTGAGGAGGGGTGGGTGTGGGTTGGTGTTTCAGAAAGGCCTTAAGCATGACCATGCTTGCTACCTTGTTCTACTTGGGTGATTGGTAATAGGAGACTTTGGTGAAGGCAAGAAGAATTAATGGGGGTCAGTTGCCAACGAAGTGTCATGTATGAACCTTTCTCTACCTGCTTTGCATGTGTGAGATACAGGATGTGGGCTTTCTTGTTGACGAGTCTTTGTTGATCTATATAATCCAGAAAGATCCTGCAGTGTGCTGTATACACTACTGTCATTGGCTTAGTGTCCGTGGTGCTTGTCACAATTATGTCATTTTCCTGAGGATATAGGCCCATTTATTAGGAATCTTAGCCTTAATGTTCTGTGGATTTCACACCTGAGTGATCTGTTCTCAGTATTTTAGTGTTGCAGTGTGTTTTCTTAGCTACCCCAACCCCAATTATATATACATTTTCTAATTCATTTATACATTTGCTTTTATCAGTGGATGTTTCCGAAGAACCTTTGATTTAATCCTAGCATACTCAAAATTATAGCTGGTATCACATAGCTTTATTTTGTAATTCATAGTTTTGCTAGAGTTACAGAGTTACCCTTGCCTAGTTTAATTCAGTTGATGGTTCTCCTTTGTTTATTCTATTAGCTCACTTTGATGCATGGGTTAATGTTATCTGAGCATTTACGAGAACCCCTCTCCATCTTGCTTATATCCTAGTGACATGCCCCTTTATTTTGGGGCTTTTCCTTACTTCTGGCATGAGGAACTCTCGTGAGCATATCTTGTCCTCTCCCTTATCTTTCCCAAATCTCTGAAACCCTGCCATTCCCTGTCCAGAGCCAGGTCACTTGGACTGAGCATCTGCATACAAGTCTCCTGTGGTGAGTGCTGCGGCACAGCCTCCCCAGGCATTGGGACTTGTGCACGCCTGTGGCTCACTGGTGTGTGTGACTCACACCTCTGCAGTTGTTAACTAGGCTTTCCCCTTTGTTCCTAGTTCACAGTGTAGAGCCTTCCATCCAGGAGAATGGAGATGAAGCTGGAGAGGGCAGAGAGGCCAAAGAGACTGACCCTGGCTCTCCCAGGAGGTGTGACATCATAATCATCTCTGGCCGGAAAGAGAAATGCGAGGCTGCCAAGGAAGCCCTGGAGGTGCGTTTGCCTCGCTCTTTCTCTTCCTCCGTGGTTCAGACCCTGCCCAGGTGGCAGCAGACTACAGATGCTGCCGTTTGGTCCTAAAAGTACAAGCATTTGCTCTGTGCCTTTCTTGACTGGTCACACAGCCCAGGGAGGCCATTTCTCACCAGGACGCAGAATTCTACAGTTTATACCCTGACAGCAGTGTTAGGGCCTAGCCTCTAGGCCATAGCCATGGCGTCTGTAAAAGAATCTCCTTAGCAGTAGGTGAATGTGAATTCCAGCCTCTCGTCAATCTATTGTGTATCCGTTCCTTCCCCAACTGAAGTAGAGATAGTCTACTTCAGGTTTGCCATAACTATGAGTTATGTGCCAAATCCCGTTGTAAGCACCGTGACGGCACCAGAGTTTACAGACAGTGCCTGCGTGGCAGTATCTGTTGGCTGAGAGAGAGCAGTAGGTGCTGTGCGAGAGTAAAGACTGAGGGGATGGTGATAGACAGCACATGCTGAGACTTGTGCAGAGGACTCATCCACCTGTCCTTGCAACCCATACAGGCTTTGGCAGAGTTGGCACAACCACGGAGACATGCCAAGACTTGGGCCTCTGTGTGCTGTGTCTTCCCCCTGGGCCTTGGCCTGCTACAATGCAGGCATAAAGTGTGGGTGCAAGGGTGACCCTCTACCATATTACCTTAGGCTGGGCTCCCTGTCCCGCCTTGTTCATTGTGCATTGAGACCGTGTGGTCTGTCAGCTGGTCAGACTGACGTGACAGACAGCAGGTTCTAAAAAGGCACATTGTTGTCTTCAGGACCATTGGCCTTGAGATTATGAGGCCATTCTGCCTTCAGGTCTTAGCCTAATCTTTACCATTGTCCTTGTAGGCCCTGGTTCCAGTCACCATTGAGGTAGAGGTACCCTTTGATCTTCACCGCTATATCATTGGACAGAAAGGAAGCGGAATCCGCAAGATGATGGATGAGTTTGAGGTACGTCATGTTCACTGGAGGGGACTTTCTCTGGAGAAAAGCCCGTGGTTCTCTTGAGTGCTGGTGCCCTTCATCAGCCCGTATTCGCTCTGCCTCCTTTGCTTTGTGCAGTCAGCCACTGACCTTCCCAGTCTCCCTCAAACTCCCCAAGGCAGATGAGCACCACTCCCTTTCCATTGTGGTCCCCTCGACATGAAGCTGCCTCTGTTGTGACAGGTGAATATACATGTACCAGCTCCCGAACTGCAGTCAGACATCATCGCTATCACTGGCCTTGCAGCAAATTTGGACAGGGCTAAGACCGGGCTACTTGATCGAGTAAAGGAGCTACAGGCTGAACAGGAAGATCGGGTAAGCAAGAACAAAGCTGTCTGCCTGGGCTGGGGTCGGAAACAGTCTGGTTCAGAGCATATTTCAGACGTTAGGGCAGGAGGTGAAGCCAGGTGTCATTGCTGTGTTGGCAGAATCTGGTCGTCCTGCTATGGAAAAGCTAAAGGCCCAGCTCTGAGTTTCTCTTACTCCCCAAATCAAGAGAAATACTTTGATCTATCAGCTCCTACAAAAGGAGTAGAAGATAGTACATTGTCTCAGGGACAAGTAGCTTACTCCTGTACTTCTGGCAGAGTGCTCTAGAGAATTCTGAGAGACCTGCTGCTTCAGGAGTTGGGAGGTCTGGGAACTGACCAGAATGTGACTCTGGGGAATGTGCGTGAGTGCGTGCGTGTGTGTGTATGTGCAGCATAGTCCAGTAATGGCACAGCTTAGAAACTTATGCACATTATGACCACTCTGGTGCAGATCTAGCCTTAGCTGTGGAAGTCCTGAACTATCTATCTGTCCTGTGGGCAGACAGGCTTTTACTGCCTTTTGGCCTCTTCTGTATGCCAGCCCTAAAAGACCTAGATTTTATTCTTGTCAAACCGAATCATCAGATCCCTGGGTCCTAAATTCAGGAAGTAGGAATAGAAGCGAGAAGGGACTGACCGTCTTACCCGTCTGGACAGGCATCAGCCTGTTCAGAGCAGTTGGGAACTAGGTGAGGCATGAGCAAGGCCTCTAGTTCTGTAGCAGGACTGCACCACAAGAGTGAAAGGCCCTCTTCTTAGTGAGCATTAGAAGTTCTGGCTTGTGTTTTGAAGATCAGGCTGGAGCTGGGCGGTGGTGTCACTCAACTAGAGGCCAGTGTGTCTCTCTGAGTTCCAGGATAGCCAGCACTACAGAGAAACCTGTCTTGGGGGTGGGGGTGATCAGGTACAAGTGGCTTAGCTTTAAAAATAAGTGCTCATTGCTCTCTCTCCTCTCCTCTCCCCAACTCTGCCTCCTTGACACCTCATTGTAGGCTTTAAGGAGTTTTAAGCTGAGCGTCACTGTAGACCCCAAATACCATCCCAAAATTATCGGGAGAAAGGGGGCAGTGATCACCCAGATCCGCTTGGAGCATGATGTGAACATCCAGTTTCCTGATAAAGATGATGGGAACCAGGTAAGATGACATCTGAGATGTGGTTAGAACAGTTGGGCAGGTGGAGTCCGTGCGCTCCGTGGGCCTTTGCCTTTACCAACCTAGATTTTGTTTTGTTATTTTTGAGACAAGGTTTCTAGCCTTGACCGTCCTGAAACTCAATATGTAGAGTAGACTAGCATTGCAGGATATTTGATCACACTGTGAAACTCTGAGACTGTTAATAAAATTAACCTTGGATCAGGGAGTGGAGCCAGTGACTAGTTGATAAGAATTAGCCATGGAGAGTACAGAGGACCCAGAAAGATGGCTGGAGAGAGGGGTACAAAAAGGAGTGGAGAGAGATTTAGAGACTCGTGGGCCTTTTTGGTTTGGACCAAATAGAGAGATGCTCTCTTGCTGGGTCTCCAGCTGAAAAGAAATGTCAGCTGGTTGCTTCTTGACTTCTCTGAGCTAGCAGGTTTTCACCCCAATATCTGACTCCTGAATCTTTATTGGTAAGTAGAATGACTTAGATACAAGCAGGCTAGCGTTGAAATCAGAGTTGTATCTACCTCTGCCTTCTGAGTGCTGGGATTAAAGGCATGCACTGCTGTGCCACTTGGCTTAGGAAGTATACTTACACAGCTTCTATAATTTTCAAGTAGGAAATAAGTGGATAAATCAATTAGAGGGACAACATCTGATTTCAGCTCAAGTTATGGGCCAGGGCTTAGTACTTGTCAGCTGTGTGCTTCTGTCTGTGGTATGGGGCAGTTTTAAGCTCCCTGTGCCTACTTTGGCACTCGTGACAGCCAGCCCTGACCCTCCAGCTGGGTCCTTCTTGAGCCATATGCTTGCCTGTGTGCACACTGTGTGGCCAGGCTTCCCTGAGCTACTGGAAGCAGATGGACAAAAGCCAGCCAGGTCTTGATTCTCTGCATCCCCCTTTCCACTTTCCATGGTCCCTGATGAGCTCTGCACAGCCTCCTATTGTACATTAAACAGAACAGTATGAAGGGTAACTTGGTTCTACCTGGTGGGCAGACAGTCCATTCCACCTAGCCTCCAAGTCCTCTCAGTTGGCCCTCCAAGAACAGTACTCCTGATCTCCTGCTGACACCTCCGCCCTTTAGGCATGGGCCAGCTCTGCTTTAGCATTTTTCAAGCCCCTTGGCCATGGTCACTATGCCCAGACGTGCACCAGTGGCAGCACTAGGGTGAGCACCCATCAGCTGAGGTCTCCTCTTTCTTTTTTTCTTTTTTTTTTTTTTAATGTATATTGGTGTTTTGCCTGCCCGTGTGTGAGGATGTCAGATTCCATGGAACTGGAGTTGCAAACATTGTGAGCTGCCATGTGGGTGCTGGGAATTGAACCCAGGTTCTTTGAAAGAGCAGCCGTGCTCTTAATGAACCATCTCCCCAGCCCTTCCTTCCCTCTTTTCCATCTCCACCTCCACGTCATTTACCTTCACTGTTGACGTCTGAATCTTCCAGTCACACGAGTTCAGTTGACTTTGTTGTTTGAACATGTGTGGTGTTTTGCCTGCATGTATGTCTATGCACCTAGTGTGTACCTGGTGCTGACCAGAGGCCCGAAGAGGACATCAGATAACCTGGAACCTGGAGTACAGATTGTTGTTAGCTACCGTGTCAGTGCTGGGAATTGAACCTGGTCCTTTGGAAGAGCAGCCAGCATTCTTAACAGCTGAGTTCTCTCTCCAACCCTCAATTTGGAGAATATATATATATAAAATCATATTCCCAAATTGGGGGGGTGTATAGTGAGGACAAATAAATGTTATATAAATTATATATGTATATATAAATTTTATCTATATAGTTATCCTCACCATGCCTTATCTCCCTCCAGTTTCCCTGTAATTACCAACTTTTGTAGGAGTTGTTTCACCATTTTGACTACTTAGCTAATTTGTGAACCAAGTAGGGTAGAGCAGACACATCTCTTTATGTATAAGGGCACACATGCGCCACAGCATGTGTGTAGAGGTCAGAGGACAGCTTAGAGGATCATTTTGTTTCTTTCCACCAAGTAGATCCCAAAGATTGAACTCATTGGGTTTGGCAGCAAGTGCCTTTACCCACTGAGCCATCTTGCCAGCCCCAATCTCTTCACATCCACAGCTTTTTGCTTTGAGAGTTTCACTTCACTTACAGAGCTGATGAGTGTGCTGGCCATGGCATGCCTGGTTTTGGTGAACCTTATTTGGATCCACTGCCTGGCCTTCCCCTTAGTCTGGACAGGAAGTTCTTAGTCTACTGCCTCTCCCCTTGTTCCTAGATCTCTTGCTTCCCTACCAGGCTGGATCTTTCTGCCTCCTAATGTTAATTCCAGGTATTACTTTGTAGTCTCTGTGTGTTCTGTCCTTTTATTTTGGGTGGGTTATCCTGGAGACTGAAACCCTGCTGCTGTTTTGCTCCCACTGTCCTTCCGTGTTCCCTGAACTGACTGTTGCTCAGATCTGTTGAGTCTGCTGGTCCTCGCTCATGTACAGGGAGGCCTGAGTGAGCAGAGAGAACTCCAAGGTCCTGGGCTGAGAACTTTGCCTCATAGTAGTCCCCAACCTTGTGCCTGCTTTCCTTGAGCTCACCTGCTGGGTACTTCCTCCATCTTTGTGGGCAGGGGTCCTTCCTAGCCTTGTCTTCTTTTTTTCCCTAACATTTATTTGCATGTGTGTACATGCATGTACACACACCACAGCACACATGTGGAGATCACAGGGAGTGGTTTTTACCCTTCCACCATCTTAGTTACAGGAATCAAACAGGTTATCAGATTTGGCAGCAAGTGCGTTTTTATCCACAGAGTCATATCACTAAATAGTATATACTGAAATATATAATTAATATACCTGTCCTTCGGCTTAATGGATGTTAAGTCTGTGTTTGTCTTGTTTACAATTTTATTTTTTGAGTGTGTGAATGTTTTCCCTATGTGTCCATATATGTGTGCACCACCCATGTGTGGTACCCAAGGAGGCCAGAAGAAGTCATTAGATCTGGAATTACAGATAATGGAGCAGCTTTGCCCGGGCTGGGAACCAAACCCAGGTCATCTATGAAAGCAGTGCACTCTCTTAACCAGTGAGCCATCTCTCCAGCCCAAGATGTAACTTTTAACTTTAAATTATGCACATTGTTGTGTGAGCTCATGAGTGCAGGTATCCACAGAAGCCAGAAGAGGGCATCAGACCTTGGAGCTAGAATCACTGCCTAACATGGGTATTAGGAATTTGCTAGGAACTCTGGTCCTCTGCAGGTATACCAAGCACTTACTGCAGGTCCATCTTTCCAACCTGTATCCTGTGGTTTTAGATCAGCTACCTGATGTGTTTTTTCTGCCTTGTTCCTCTGAGAGGATGAATGTCTTCCTAAGGTGAGGTCTTGATGCATTCATCCATCTAATGCCATCCATTCACCTGCACTGTGTCACCTCCTCAGACCAGCCTGCTAGGTCAGCACACTGCTTGTCCTGGGGAGTCCCAGAAGAGTCACACACTTCTGACTGAATTCTCCTTTTTAAGCCTCAGGACCAAATCACCATCACAGGGTATGAGAAGAACACTGAAGCTGCCCGTGATGCTATCTTGAAAATTGTGGGTGAGCTTGAGCAGATGGTTTCTGAGGATGTCCAGCTGGACCACCGTGTGCATGCCCGCATTATTGGTGCCCGAGGCAAAGCCATCCGGAAAATCATGGATGAGTTCAAGGTGAGTCCACAGTCATCACCTGAAGCACAAGAATGAGCGCTCCCATCCTTTGGGGCAGCACTGGAAACCTGCAGGCTCCTACCTATGCTGCTGACCAACAGAGCTAGGAGGGCTTGAGAATTTGCTTCTAAGGTATTAGGACATGCTGTAGGACAGTGTTGCACTCTGACCTCACTGCTAAGTACAATGAGGGCTCACAGAAAGGGCCACTAGGCCATCAGGCCACTTGCATACTCTTATTCTGCAAGACAGGACAGAACAGTCACACACACACATACACTCGGAACCCTTAGCCTTCAGGAAACCAGGTAGTCCTGGCAGGATGATGCAAGTGACTTCCTCAAGTGAAGAACCCTAAAACCAAACTTTAAATGTTCCTGAGTTCAGAGGGAAATCCTTCCCTAACTAAAAATAGAAGTGTGGTGGACTTTGGTCTAGAGTCCTCCCTTTAATGCCGTTGTTTGACAATGCTTCTTCCAGGTGGACATTCGCTTCCCACAGACTGGAGCTCCAGACCCCAATTGTGTCACTGTGACAGGACTCCCAGAGAATGTGGAGGAAGCTATCGACCACATCCTCAACCTAGAGGAGGAATATGTGAGTCCTGAGTGGGCAGGGTCATTGGGGGCCTCAAGCCAGCCCAGGCCAAGCTCTGAGGCACCCTGTCCCCCTTGACTAACTGGAGACCTGCCATGATCCTCAAGTGACAGCCAAGTCACTCACATGCTTCCACAGACAGGGGCAAGTGGGTGGGTGGGTGCCAGTGGTGTAGCTGTTGGAGGCTCGGCTGGCTGGCTGTAGGCTGACCAGCACCATCTCCCTGTGCCATGCAGCTGGCTGATGTGGTGGACAGTGAGGCGCTGCAGGTTTACATGAAGCCCCCGGCACATGAAGAGTCCAAGGCACCATCCAAAGGCTTTGTGGTGCGAGATGCTCCCTGGACCTCCAACAGCAGTGAGAAGGTCAGATGGCGCTTGTGCTGCCGGTTCCCTCTGGCCAAGCTGGGGGGGGGTGGAGACTGCAGGGGAGAACCGCCCGTGCTAAAGTGTGTCTTCCCTCCCCACAGGCTCCTGATATGAGCAGCTCTGAAGAATTTCCCAGTTTTGGGGCTCAGGTGGCTCCCAAGACCCTCCCTTGGGGCCCCAAACGATAATGATCAAAAAGAAACCTTTCCAGCCTGCTGCCCAAACCCAACCACACAATGGTTTGTCTCAATCTGACCCAGCAGCTGGACCCTCGTAAATTGTTGATGCTCTCCCCCTCCCCGAGGTCTCGCAGCAAAGCCTGGTGGGCTGGCCTTGTGTGGCTGCTTCTCCAGGCCTGGTCAGCGCCCAGCAGGCTCAGGGTCTGCTCCTGATGCTGTGCTCTGGGCCAGGCACGCCAGTGTGTGAAACACTAAGCAAGGTATTCGAGCATTTCGTGATCACAGACTCCAGCTTCTGGTCCACCCAGCATGTAGTCAGCACTCTGACCTTCACACCAGAGCTCCACAGCGGCTAGGAGCTGACTTCCTGTGTCATGACCTCAGGAAATAAATTTCCTTGACTTTATAAAAGCCAAAACGTTTGCCCTCTTCCTTTCCCACCTCCCTCCTGCCCAGACCTTCCTCTTTGTGGAAAGCAGTCAGCTTCTTTGGCTGTCAAAATCTGCTTAGCACAGGCTACAGGAGGAGGAAGGCATGGTTTCGGACAGCAAGAGGTCAGATGTCCTGGTGATGGAGTGGGTAGAGGGGTGGCCTGGGTCCTCAGTACTGATGACACCACTTTGGGTTCTGAAAGCAGCAGGGGCTTCTACTGCAGCGCCAGCGTACCCTAGAGGCATGGCTGTCAGAGTGGGCTGGGGTGGCTTGAGACTTTGGGGACAAGGGGAGGTAGGGACTGGGTGGGGAGGGGGCTTGACCCTAAGTGACAGCTCAACTTTCCCACAACCTTTGGCCCGTTTGCCTCGCCCAGACGCCTGGTGTTTGGTTGCCTTCTTTCTACCTCAGCCAGTATGGTAGTGCTCTCTGTGGGTTAGCACCACTCCTCGAGGTCTTCTTAATTTAGGCATTTGTGGTGATTCTGGGCTTGCCATTGAGTTGAGGAGGGTGAAAGCTGGTGCTTCTCAGGCCGCAAGGTTCAGGGGCTGGTCCAGAGCAAGCTGCTCATTTATTCCCAGCCAGCCTGAGTCTGCAGCTTCCGGCAGGTGTCATCAATAGAGGCTGTCGTTTAGCATGGATTAGAAGGAAAGGCAGAATGAAAAAGACCCCATGCAGGGAGTGCTGCCAGCTGAGAGAGGCCTTCTCTCAGGTGCAGGAAGTAACTTGGGCCACTGGCCCCGGCTAGCATGGCTTCAGGCCAGCCCTCACCAGGAAAAGTGATCCCCAGCAGAAGTGTCCCTCTTGGGTTGTGGAGACTGAGGACAGGTCTTTTATTTCCAGGTCATATAATCAACTAGTAACAGTCCTGTCCCAGATAGGTGGGTTCCTAGAAAAGCCAACCTGTGCCCATCTCATGGCCTTCCCTGGGAACTGTCACTTCTCCTGTGACACTTTCCCCAAGCCTTTCACTGTTCATCTGATAACTCACGCTTGGCCACCTGTAGACTCTAGCTCCTAAGTGGATCCAGAATTGCTTTTCAAGTCTAACTTGAGTTCCCTGTAGATGAAGCAGTCCCACGGGTACCCACTTACAGGGATGGTACTGCGGTGCGAGAGAACAGCTACTGTGCTCAGTAGGCTTGAGCCAGGTGGGTAAGACGGGGAGGGGGCTTCCCTGCCTTTCCCTGGAGCCGTCTCTTCTCCCATCTGCACAAGACTGGGGACACCTGGCTTCTTCCTGCCCCTCATCTTTCTTCATCGTCATCCTACAACATCCAGTCTCTTCCTTCCACAGAAGGTAAAGGTTAAATTATCACCACAGGATTTTGCACATCTCCATTTATTGCTAAGCGCTGTAGATGTATGTAAACCCTACCCTATACTGTGAGGGTCTCATTCCTTGTCTCTGATTGTTAATAAGGACTATGAAATTGACTGTGCCCAGGTCACCTCCCTGCAGCCTCCACGCTGTTGAGGGGTCTAGGCAGGGATGGGAGTGTCCTTTCTTCCTTGTTGAATGTCTTCCATGTCCTATGTTTCCATAGCTACACCCATCCCTTGGCCTTAACTTTGGAATTTGGAGATTATATGCAAACATGTGTAAAGGCTCATGAATATGGATGACACTGGAATTTTATAAATTCTAAAATAAAACCCGAAACCAGAATCAGTGTGATGAGACTCATTTTATGAAGTTATATTCTCTCCTTGTGACTAAGTGGTAACAGTGTCCCTGGATAATTCCCTAATCAATGTTGTGATTCTCTAGCAGCTCTTAGCACTGTTCCTTTCTGTCCCTTGGGATGGGCTGTTGAGTGGCGTCTCCATGAGGAAGTCTTGTCTGCTCCTGCACCTTGACCCAACCTCTCATCCTAGTTAGTGGCTGCCCCAGCGCTGTTCACAGACAGCTCTGCTTGGGTAACAGCATGGTCTTTACAAAAACCAGCAACATCCCTGGTTTTCTGTTGATGTTCCTGACAGGCTCCCAACACCCAGGCTGAGGAGGTTGGGTCTGGGGGAGATCCCTGCCTGTGGGCAGTGGGAGCTGAGAAGGAAGGAGGTGGTGGAGGCAGAGCAACTTCAGTCCCCATGAGGTAGAAGATCCCATTAAACTGGCTAAAGGAGCTAGGGACGAGCAGAGCCCCTCTTGCTGAGAAGGCTGGTAACCCAGCATCTCCATCCCAGGATATGCAGAATGGCTCCAGACAAACTGGACCCCACAGTGGGGGAATAAATAAGACCCTGGTGTACAGTGGAAGTCGTTGAGAGTCTGGCTCAATCCTGGCTTAGTTGTCCTGGATGGGTAAGGTGTGTCTTAAGTGTGGGCCCCCCTGCACTGATTTCAGCATTGTTTACATGAAGTTCCTTCAAGTGAAAGCAAGCATTCTCTTCTGTTTGGGTAAAGATAGAGCCAGTAAATTACTTTTCTGTCACTATGACAAGGCAACTTTCAGAAGGTTTATTTCGGCTTATGGTTCCAGAGGGTTCAAATCTCTAGTAGTGGGTACAGCATAACCGCAGGAGACAAAAAGCTCACATCTTGGCCCATAAATAGGAAGCAGAGAGCACCAACTGGAATGGCACACTTTTTCTCAAAGCCCACTCCCTAAAATTCCCTCCAGCAAGGCTGTACCGCCTAAACATCCCCAGATGGGGATGGAGTATCCCAACTGGCAAAGCCATGCAGGGCAGTAGTTATTCAAACCACTGCACAGCTGGCCTACGCCCATTCCCTGGAGCCCACAGTGGAAGAGCTGGCCCCACAAGATTGTTTCCTGACTTCTGTGTGTGGCACACACGCCCCACATTACACACAAAGCTTACATACACACAATGGCAGATTTTAGAGATTGTAACAGCTGAAGAAACAGCTTGAAGAAAGGACGTGTGGTCCATGCAGTAAGGCTTTCCCTAGCAAGTGCACTCGTTGAGCTGAATAGGTTGTCCAGCAGCCATGCAAGCGTCAGTGGGCAGCCTCACCCACGTCTGATGCCAGAGTAAGCAGAGCCACATCTGAGGCCAGGAGCTGCCGAAGTTTCAGCAATGGGTGGGTGGGTGAGAGCATGGTTTGGAAAAGGTTTTCAAAGGAAATGTGTATGCTTCACAGCCCTTCCAAAACTGCATATCCCTCTTGTCACCAGTCCTAACAACCCTACAGAAATAAGCCCAGATAAGTAGTGACTTTCAGACCTTTATTCCAGCATGGTTGGATGGTAGAAGAGAGGAAAGGCCCATATCCCATCATGAGTGGGCGGCTAGGTTAGGAACTAAGTGGCAATTAACTATCAGTTAACCCAGCTAACAGATGTTGAGCAACAGGAAACGGCCCAAGTTGTACCCAGTTTGAAAAGTAATTGTATGTAAACACAGAATGGAGGATAATGGTCCACTAGTTGTTACAGAAATCTGGTTTCTGGTTTTTGTTTTCTGTTTCCGCTATAAGGGGTAAGGCTTCATTCCACAGCCTTACTCCCTTCTGTGTTGGCTATGTGCTGAGTCCCTGGCCTCGCACTGGAAGGCACAGGAGACAAAGGGGATACTGCAGAGGCCCTTTATCTGTCGGGATAAAGAGACCAAGATCCAGAGGACCCAGAGGCCCTGGGTAATTGTTTGAAGGGAGGGGCAGAAGCAGGCTTCCTACTGTAGCCTGCCATGTGATATCAGGTCTTCGAGCAGATGTGTACTGAGCATGCGTGGCATGTGTGGAAAGGCAGAGGGTGGGTCTGGAGGGGTGGCTGACCCTACACTATCACAAGGAATGCTGCAAAAGAGCTCGGTTAACAGAGGAGTTCTGCCTGGGGGTAGGGGCGGGAGGGTATGTCAACAATAAAGCAGCCTCCTGGTCACTAAGTTTCAGGAATGCATACAGAGGATTCTTAGCCTTTGGTTTGGGGACAGGAAACAGGGATTCTCCCTGTTGGGGACAAGAGAAAGTTATGGATGAGACAAGGGAAGGACAGCTTCTGAGTACATTGGCCAGCATTGTGAAAATGAGAGCCACAGAAGCCAGCGTTTCATACAGCCCCTCCAAGATACAGGGGGACAAATCATTGGCTCATGGAACTTAGGAATGGCAGTAGGGGACAGCCCCCTGAAGGCCAACAGAAGTCTCTAAGCACTGAGGCTCCATTTGGGGAGCCTTAAGCAGTATCCAGCAGGGGTGGTGATCAAGCAGTACGTGTGAGCCAGAGATTGGCAGCCAAGGGTCATGGCTATTCTTAAACAAGGGTAGGGGGTAGCAGGAGCACAACCATGGCCTCCAAGGCCATGCACCATGAACTGTTTCCTAGTGCATCTTCAGCAGCCTCCCAGGCAAGTGTGTCAGCTTCCAGTAACCCATACTGTAACCTCAGAGATGGGGGAGAGAAGGTCACGACCCCACCCCCACCCCCAGAGGGTTTCTCTGTGTAACAGCCCTAGTTGCCCCTGAACTAGCTCTGTATTCCGGGCTGGCCTCAAACACACAGATACACCCGCCTCTGCCTCCCCAGTGCTGGGATTTAAGGCGTGTGCCACCACTGCCCAGAGGTCACCAGTTCTAAGACCCTAGGCTGGAAGGCCCAGACTCTGAGCTTGGAAGCTGGTCATCCTTCGCTCCTGTTGCTCCAAGGAGAGCCTGTTTTGAAGAAAGTGAATTGTCAGATTGACTACAGAATAGAAGAGACGACAAAGCCCCTCAGTCCTTCATCTACTCTGTAGATGTGCTCTCAAGACTGACCAGGTGGAAACTAAGGTTAGTCACATGGCCTGAGAGAGCATGAGGGACAGGGCTTGGGTGCTCACCTCATTCTCAGCCAGGGCCTGCTTAGCTAAGTAGTATTCCCGCTTCACCTTGATCTCCACAGACTCTGGGATGTCAGGAACCAGGAGGTCCAGGAGACGGCCGATGGAGAACACCACGTGCTGGTGGTAGAACCCCCACCCCAACCCCGGCCCTTGGTCAAACAAAAGCCCAGACTAGCCTTCAGGGGACCAGGCAGGCTCCCCAGGTGAGTGGAACTGCTGGAGGAGCAGAGGCCTAGACCTCAGACCAGGGTGTATAGCCCTTCAGAGTTCCCCATAGCACCTTGCAATCCACAAAGCACCCAATGGCTGCTAGCTCATGAGCCAGGGACAGATCAGCAAGGGAAAGTGAGATGCACAGAATTGTGATGGGTCAAGAAAACAGAGGGGGAGTTCATTTGGTCCGACTGCCCTTCCCATGCCACAGGCTTGGCTTAGGTTAGGCAAAGCAAGTCAGGGGTACAGGGGCCAGCAAGGGGATGTAAGTCACTGAAAGAACTCTCAGATGTCTTGGATACCTCAAAGATGATGACAAAGGCCAGGCGGATGGCCAGGAGAGTCCAGTAAGTCTGGGAATAGTGTCCATCATCATCCCTGAAAGCCCGGTACCTGCAAGAGACACAAGACTCGGGGAAGTGCTCTTGGGTTGAGCCCTAGCTGGCAAGTGGTCCGTCTAGAATGAGCCTCTCCATGTCCTCTTCTCTGCCTCTTTAGTGCCGCCCACAGACCAGCTTTCTGCCAATGGTCCCTGAAATAGGACTTACCCCTAAACAGGGACTCAGATAGCATCTTTAACTGGTGAGGGCCTGAATGGGTGGATTAAGAAGGTTGTCGCTTTACCCCACTGGGGTAAGCTGCAAATGTCTTTAATAGATGTAACAGCCCAATAAGGCTTCTACAAATGATGTCCATCTACTTACACCCAGAAGATGTAATCTCTACAAGCCAGCATCTGCCACAACAGTTCTTTTGGTTTTCCAAGATAGTGTTCCACTGTGTAATATTTCCTCACCACAACAGTTCTTTTGGTTTTCCAGGACAGTGTTCCACTGTGTAATAGCCCTAGATGTCCTAAAACTCACTCTGTAGATCAGGCTGGCCTTGAACTCAGAGATCTACCTGTCTCATCTGGGTGATGAGATTAAAGGTGTGTGTCACCATCGTCTGGCACCACAGCGGTTCTTAATCTGTGGGTTGTGACCCCTTTGGGGGCCAAATAACCCTTTCACATGGGGTTGCCTAAAACCATCAGAAACCCCAGATATTGGGCTGAAGAGATGACTCAGAGGTTAAGAGCACTGGCTGCTCTTCCAGAGGTCCTGAGTTCAATTCCCAGCAAACACATAGTGGCCCACAACCATCTATAATGAGATCTGGTGCCCTCTTCTGGCCTGCAGGCATACATTCGGACAGAACACTGTGTACATAATAAATAAATAAATCAAAGAGGGAAGGCATAGATATTTACATTACAATTCATGAGAGAAGCAAACTTACAATTGTGAAGTAGAAACAAGAATAACTTTGGTTGGGGGGTCACCACACATGAGGAACTATATTAAAGGGTCACAGTGTTAGGGAGGTTGAGGAGTGGGGCTTTATCAGAACATGCTACCTTCCGCTCCTGCACTATCTCAGACCAGCTTATCTTTTGACATCTTCCTGTGTTTGTGAGATGGTAAAGATGGACATTCCACACTCCAGGAAAAGCATCACTAGGGAACCGTGTGGGGCGGGGCAGGGGAGAAATCTTGAAAGTTAAAAACGTTATCATTGAAATCAAAATCCTTGTTACAGTTTGGATCTGGAACATCCCTGAAGGTTCATGTATTGAACATGTATTCCCCAACTGGTGGCACCACTGGGGTTGGCAGAAACTCAGGAGCAAACTCAAATACCAGCAACCGTAAACTGAAACCTAAGAACCCAAGAGCTAAAATAAACCCCTTCCTCCTCTCTAATTGTTTCTATCCATTATATTTTTTACAAGGGTGGCATAGCAAGTCACAAATGAATAATATTTCCCAAAATACAAGCAAAATGACTTCTGTAATTTGTATCTGTTATTTGAAGGACAAGGACACAGAAATATTTTCATATGTGTATGTATAAGAACCGAGGGGCAGCCGGGCGGTGGTGGTGCACGCCTGTAATCCCAGCACTCGGGAGGCAGAGGCAGGCGGATCTCTGTGAGTTCGAGGCCAGGCTGGACCGACAGCCTCCAAAACAATACAGAGAAACCCTGTCTCATAAAAAAAAAAAAAAAAGAACTGAGGGGCTGGAATGGCTTAGCATTTAAGAGTTCTTGGTTTGGTTCCCAGCACCCACATGGTAGCTCATAACTGTCTATAACTCCAGTTCCAGGGGACTTAATGCGCTCTCGCTCTCGCTTTCTCTCTCTCTCTCTCTCTCTCTCTCTCTCTCTCTCTCTCTCTCTCTCTCTCTCTCTCTCTCTCTCTCTCTCTGTGTGTGTGTGTGTGTGTGTGTGTGTGTGTTGTTTTCTGAGACAGGGTCTCACTATGTAGCTCTGGCTATATAGAGACCTGCCAACGTCTACCTCCTAAGTGTTAGGATTAAGGCATTTACTGCTATGTCCAGCCTGATGCCCTGTTCTGGTCTTTCTCTGTGGGCAATGTGTACATGTTATACACATACACACACACAGGCAAAACACTCTCACACATAAAAATATTTTTGGGGGTGGGGCTTGCCTAGCAAGTGCAAGGGTCTAAGTTGGATCCTCAGCTCAAAAAAAAATCTTTAAAAAAAAAAATCTAAAGAACTGACCAACATGGCAGCACATGCCTGTAATCCCAGCCCTTGTGAAGCAGAGGCTAGAGGATCACTGCCAGCCTAGTCTACACAGTGAACTCCAGGGCAATCCGTCTCAAATAACAACAAAACCCTGAGCCTACCATCACACAGCCTTCCTGAATAACAAGGTGCTCTGAGGGAGGACAATTCATAAGAAGTACCTGCAGGACCAGCAAGGTGGCTGTGTAGGGAAGGCACCTGCCAGCAAGCCAGGTGGCTGGCGTTCCATTCCCAGGTCCCACATGGTGGAGGAGAGAACTAGCTTGTGCAAGGAACAATTACAATCTCAGAGTTAAGAAGATACACCATTAAATCTGATTAGCACAACTAAGAATATTCTCTGTGTTTTTTTTTTTAAATAAAGCCAAAACTCTGTAACAAGATGGAGCTATTGGGTATTAAATACCAAATAGGTGGGTGGAGATCACTGTGCAGGAAGAGAGGGCTTCATTGGAAAATGTATAGTTAAAAAATGTAACTTCACGCTGGGCGGTGGTGGTGCACGCCTTTAATCCCAGCACTCGGGAGGCAGAGGCAGGCGGATCTCTGTGAGTTCGAGGCCAGCCTGGTCTACAAAGTAAGTTCCAGGACAGCCTCCAAAGCTACAGAGAAACCCTGTCTCGAAAAACCAAAAAAAAAAAAAAATGTAACTTCAAAATACATAAAACAAAAAACAGGATGTAAGAGCAAGGTAAACTGGAGAGGATAGAGTTAACTCCATCCTCAGAAATTAAAAAGTAAGAACGCTGGCCTAAAGGGTATATCTGTAAACATGCTCCAAAGTTAAGAAAATGTTTTCAAGCTCATGTGAAATGTGCAAAACCCCACTGTGATCAAATCACTAACAGAAGATTCGACAAATGAAATACACACACCACCTCAAGTTCTCCAGGCTAGAATCAATGTTTGCGTTGGCTGGCTGGCTTTGGTTCTTTTGTTTTCCCAAGAAAAACCAGGAGCTGGAGAGATGGCTCGTCAGTTAGGAGCACTGACTGCTCCATTATTCATAATAGCCAGATCCTGGAAACAGCCTGGATGCCCCTCAACCAAAGAATGGATAGAGAAAATGTGGTGCATTTATACAATGGAGTACTATTCAGCGGTAAAAAAAAAATTTTAATCTTGAAATTTGCAGGCAAATGGACAGAACTAGAAAAAAATCCTGAGTGAGGTAACCGAGACCCAGAAAGACAAATATAATATGTACTTGCTCATAGGTGGACATTAGACTTATAAAGCAAAGGATTACCAGCATACAGTCCACAACCCCAGAGAAGCCAGGAAACAAAGAGGACCCTAAGAGAGACATGCATGGATCTGCCTAGGAAGGGGAAATAGACATGCTCTCCTGAGTAAATTGGGAGCATGGGAGGCATGGGAGAGGGTGGAATAGGAGAGGGGAGGAGGGAAGGGGAGTGGAGAAAAAATGTATAGCTCAATAAAAACAAGATATATAAATATACATATATATATAAAGAGCACTGACTGTTCTCACAGAGGATCTGGAATCAATTCCCAGCATCCACACAACAGTTCACAACTGTCTGCAATGCCAAGATCTGACATCCTCACACAGACATACATGCAGGTAAAACAGCAATGCACAGTTGGGTGGTGGTGGTGCACCCCTTTAGTCCCAGCACAAGGTAGACAGAGACAGACAGATCTCTGTGAGTTCAAGGCCAGCCTGGTCTACTGAGCGAGTTCCAGGACAGACTCCAAAGCTACAGAGAAACCCTCTGGAAAAACCAAAAGTCAAAACCCAAAACCAAAAAACCACCAATGCACATTAAAAAAGAATGGGGGGGGGGGGAGGGAGGAAGGAAGGAAAAAAGATAAGAAAGGACTAGAGAGATGGCTCAGAGGTTAAGAGCACTGGCTGCTCTTCCAGAAGTCCTGAGTTCAATTCCCAGCACCCACATGGTGGCTCACAATCATCTGTAATTCCAGTTGCAGGGGATACAATCAATGCCCTGTTAGGGCCTTCCTGATCACATACAGACATGTAGGCAAACTCATACATAAAATCTTAAATTTCTTTTGCAAGAGTTCGAGGCCATCCTCAGATACATGAGCGAAGGTCTCGAGACCAACAAAAAGCCCTGTATCTCGGGGAGGGGGGGTGAGTTGGGGCATCGGGGGAGGAGTGGATCAACAACACAGGAAGCGAGTCCCGCACTCTGCCGCCGCGGGCTCACCTGCAGGTGCGGTTGTGCGCGGCGGCGAAGGCGGGCGGCGCGCGCGCCAGCGTGAAGTTGAGGAAGCCGCGCAGGTCGGGGGCGCGTGTCCAGCGGTAGTAGGCACGGGGCAGGAAGTCGGAGGAGAAAGCCAGCAGGAAGGCCTGCGGGCGCGGGGTCAGCGCGGGGTCAGCGGCACCCTCACCCCGCCCCGCTCCTCCCGCCCCACCCAGCAGGCGGCCCGGGAGCTCACGTTGCTGATGACCGCGAGGTGTGTGAGCCCCGCTAGGATATGGAACCAGATGCCGATGTCCTGGGCGCGCTCGGCCACCGGGCGCCGGTACTCGCACACGAACTTGCGCGCATCCAGGCGGATCTCCACCCAGTTGTTGAGCAGGGCAAAAAGCGGCGCCAGCGGGCAGGCGGCCACGAAGATGGTGACGAACCCGAACTGCAGCACTGCCGGGCAGGAGTAGCTGCTGGTGGAGCTGGTAAACCTCTCAGGCAGCCCGTGGCGGGCATGGGGTAGGGACGCCCAGCTTGCCCTCCAAAGCACCAGATCGTTGGTTTCACCCTATTTCCTCCCCTCCTGCTGTATGCAGCCCAAGGATCACTGCCCACCTTCCTGACTGGATCCAGAGCTTGCTTGAAGCCCTGATCCACACTGCTCTGATCTTGGTGCTCCTTGGATGGCCTTCGCCACCCAGTACACCTGAAGTCAAGGACGCTTAATGTCAGCAAGGAAAGCAAAACCTGTCTGTGGCTTTAGAGCTACGGTCCCCAAACTCCACGGGTAGCATGGGTCTTCTGTAAAATTGCTAGCGAGGTCTTCAGATGTCATTGTGTCGGGCGTGAGGATACATACTATCAACCCGCTTCCTGTAACCCACCCTGTCTTTTATCCAGAGTGATCCTGCAACTGTAACCGGTTATGCTTTGGTTGCCAAGCAACTCACTCATGTGTTCTGCTGAGACCCTGTGCTCACTAAGTTATGACTGTGCCAGATCTCCCTTGTATTAGCCAGGCAAAACCCGGCTGTCAAAACCATCGCACCCCTCAAGCCATGGGTATGGACCACCACTTGGCAGTTTCACAGCTTCGGAGGACCTGCTGGAGGGAATCAGTCCTCTAGGCTGACATGGTCCAGGTGTACCTCACTTCACATGACAGAGAGTCTACCTCAGGATGTTCTTTCCCTAGTACACAGCCTCGGTCCCCAGGCACCCCCAAACTTCCCCCACCCCGACCCTCACTCTGTCACCACTGCATCTCCAGGTATCTATCGGCCTGTCTCCCAGGGCCCCACGTGTCCCCCAGTCACCTCCCAGTGACACATTGCATTTCAAGGTAGGCCAGGGCCAGTGTGGGTCTTACCCATTTCAAGGTACTCGTGGAACAACCCCTCACAAGGCAGCAGATCGTAGTCAGCCTCCCAAGGTGCTGGGTGGGCCCCCACGCCAGCCTTCCTTCTCCTGGAGTACAGCTTCTGCCAGCAGCCCTTCAGCCTTCTGCGGGCAGAAAGTGGGCGATGCCATGGCTGTTCCCACATCCAGCTGATGACTGAGCTGGTCTGAAGGACGTGCACCCTGAGGGGCTGTTGCTCTGGGGCGAGGCTGGGCAGGGCAAGGGGCTGTACTCTTGCAGGTCAGGCTCATCCAAGGCCCTGGGCCCCCTTTATGGGACATGATGCCACTGGCCCTTCTGGTTCCCTGTTGTGTCCTCAAGAAAGTCATTCTGGCTCCCTGGAGCCTTTGGAGGGTGGGGCCATAGCGAGGGCCAGGGAGGAGCTAGTGAGGGCAAGAGCTGAGTCTCAGGAAAGCTGGGGCCATGGGGCTGGGTGTGTTGACTGCATCATACTGGGACCACATCCATGTGGCTGCGTCAGTCCTGTGTAGATGTGGCTTTGTCAGAACTTGTGAGGGATCATGCATGGAACACATGTGTTGCTTGTCAGATTGCGTGGGGGCACAGGTGTCTGTTGGCTTCCTCACAGGGCCTGTACCTGCTCTGGCACGCCTCACCCTGGGCTCCCTCGTCCCACTGAATGCCAGGGAATCAGGGTGCTTCCAGAGAGGGACTGCTATAGTTGTAGCGTCAGGGCGAGCACTGCCTTTTGGAGGTTGCTATGGCCTCAAGCAGGATGCTATCCCTTTAGAGGACTCAAACCTGTGAGGGAGGCCACAGTTCCAGCTAGTGGGACAGGGATGGCTGGTCCCTAAAACAAGGGAACCTGAAGCAGGCACTAGTCTAGGAGTCAAGCCTGAGGCCCAAGGCCTCCCCTCGCTTCTTCTCATGTTGGTAGGAAATACGTGCTGGCCTATGTGGCCTCCTTCTGAGGAACCCAGGCTTCCCCTGACAGAGCTTTCCAGAGGCAGTGCTGATGACAGGCTCCCCAACACCCCAACCATAACAACAGATGGAAGAGGCTGTTGTAAAGCTCGCAATATGACGGGAAGGTTCTGCCTCCTCTTTGTTCTCCCAGCACTCTTAGGAAATGCTGATCCCTAGAAGCTGCAGGGGCAGAGTAGAGGTGGCTTACGGCACAAAGATCTCCTGCACGTTGTTGATGATCTGTTTGCCCACCATGATGACCAGGAGCTCCTGTGCCAGCTCGATGAGGCAGCCTCCAGCAGCACACTGCAGCAGCAACTTCAGGTTAGCCGGGGGAGGGACCAGGCACACACACGCCTGGCTTTCTCTATGCCTCGAAGGTGGCTTCTCTACCCCCACCTCCCATAGGACATGCCTGGAGTACCTTGAAAATTGCAGAGATCCGCCCTCCCCACCTCACTTCAGTTTGTATGGGAACAGCCACTGGGCAGCTGCAGTGTGTGCCCTATCGTTCCTCAGCCCACGGTAGCCTCGGGCTCCAGGGAAGACCCAACATGTGGCCAGTAAAGAATCACCCCCCAGGGGTTGCTAGGAATGCATGCCGAGCCCGGGAAGTTCAGTCACACCGTGGGATGTCATCCTCACAGGGTCGGAAAACCCTGAGAACTCAGCCCGTGCTGAGGGCAGCACCTGGATCTGGCCGTTCTTGAACCACAGAGTCTCCAGTAACTTCAACACAAGAGCAAGTGGTAACCCTTTTCTCACCTAAGCCAGTCTGAACTGGGCAACTCACTAAGAGTTGAGAGCTGTGTAATCTGGCACAGCAGCCACAGTCAAGCTCCTGGGGTAGGGGCCCAGTTGCTCTGCGCTGCCCCTCCCCACACAATTCCTTCCCCTTAACGTAAAGGTGGACAGCTTCCCTTGACGAGGTGAACCACCTTGCAGTAAGATGAGCTAATGGCCCGGGCCATGGGAAGATGCCTGTTCTCCCTCCTCTAAGAAGAGTAGGGTCTTTTTGGACCCATTGCTCAGTAGTGGCCACGGAACCCCATGTCCCCCAAGTCCAGCTCCACAGCCACGAGTGGACAGGCCCAGATGTCCCCACCACACTGCCTATACCTCTGGTTAACCCTGCTTGGCCCTCAGCTAACAAGGCCGCAAGTGGAGAGAGAAATTCTTTGGATGTCTGGACAACATGGGGACCACTCCTTACTCCTTCTTGGTATTTATGTTTTGGTGTCTTGAAGCCCCTGTCACCTCCAGAGACAACCTACGTGTCTTCCTCTGCAAAGACCGCTGCTCATCTGAGAAGCCAGACTCTCCTGATTCCCAGAGTCCCCAGGTCCCAAAGACAAGCGGAGCCCACTAGTGCTAGAGGGAGAAGCCCAGGCAATGAGTCTGTGGGGCACCGGCCGCAGTGTCCTCCCAGCCAGCAGGGACGGTGCTGGGGCTCACGAGGGATGGGCGCCCTAAAGACTCAGATGCCTCAGGGCGTGTATTGGGTGACAGCAGAGAAGGGCTGGGACCCGTGGCGTGTGTGTTCTCTACACAGTGGCTGCGAATCAGGACCTGGGCCTGATATGGTCAAAAGTCCTGGAGTCCTGGGAAGCAGCTGTAAGCCTGGCCTCTGGCTTGGACATTAGTGGAAGGTGGGTACCAAGAATGGCGTCAAATTAAGGCCTGGGTGGGTACAGAGGGAGCGTCCGCTCCCTGGCTGGGCGTGTCCAGCACACTCACCTCTTCATTCCGGACTCCAAACAAGGTGTGGTAGTTGCCTGGGTATCCCACAAACCTAGTAGGATCCAAGTTGTGAGCCTGTGAGGGACTAGATACTGAGAGTCATCTCTGTCCTCCCACCCCGAGGCCTGGCCCGGGGGAGCACAGGCTGGATCTCTTGTGCCCTCTGAGCCCCTGCCATCACTCTTGCCCAGTCCTTGGCCCTGGCTACCTATCTCCACCTGCTCCAGAGGACAGGGTGAGCCACAGGGGATGGATACCTATCTCCACCTGCTCCTGAGCACAGCGGACAGGGTGAGCCACAGGGGATGGATACCTATCTCCACCTGCTCCTGAGCACAGCGGACAGGGTGAGCCACAGGGGATGGATACCTATCTCCACCTGCTCCTGAGCACAGCGGACAGGGTGAGCCACAGGGGAGAGGTGGCCACTTACCTGCCCTTGAAGAAGGCAATGTACACAGGTGAGGCGTAGAAGTTGACAAACTGAAAGACGAACACCTTGAGGGTGAAGGCATCCTCGAATGCCGTCTGTGTCCGGTGCATCTCTGTGCATGGGGGGCTTTCACTCAGTCCCCAGGGCACTGCCCCTGCCCAAGAGACCCCACCACCCAGGGTGGGGCGGAAGCCACATTGCCCAGATATTTTAAAGAACTTCATTAAAGGAGGGGGTCAACATATAGCAGTCCTAACTTTATCTAAATTTTCCTCAAACATGTTGATGAAGGCAGTGGTAAATCTTGATTGTCTACTGGAATAGGTGAAATGAGATTGATCTGTCCCTGAGGCTGTTTCCAGAGAGTATTAGCTCATGAGGACTCTAATGCTATCAATGGATCAATATTATTAATCAGACGGATCAATAATATGCTGATACTGTTATTGGGAATTGGTGGAAGTTCGGGCCTGCATGGAAAAGCAGGGTCTGTGTTCCACCTGATCCTGTCCTGTATCCCCCTCCTTGCTTCCTGGGTACCACACCCTCCCTGCTGTGATGGGCTGCCACCTCTGAAACTGTGGTCAGGAATACATAATTCCTACACGAAGTCTTTCTGTCTGGTTTTTTTTATCACAGTGGCAACAAAGATAACTAATACAATTAAGAGTACCTGGAATCGTTGACCGGGAGGGAAAGCACTAATGTGGCATAAACACACACAAGCCAAGACATGTGAGCACACATACATTAAATACATATAATAGTATATATATTATATATATATATATAATTTTTTTTTCGAGACAGGGTTTCTCTGTGGCTTTGGAGGCTGTCCTGGAACTAGCTCTTGTAGACCAGGCTGGTCTCGAACTCACAGAGATCCACCTGCCTCTGCCTCCTGAGAGCTGGGATTAAAGGCGTGCGCCACCACCGCCCAGCACATGTAATAATATTTAAAAGTGTGTATATAAGATTGGGAGATGTCCAAGGACAAAAGAGTTTCTGCTCAAGACTAGGTGAGGGTTGAACTATAGTACAAAAATTGCCAAGACCAATGTGGAAACAAAAGGGGAGCCAGAGTCCCACAATTCTGGGAAAACCTACTCCAGCTCCTGCTCCCTTCTCATTCTTCTTGGAACACTGCTACCTGTGTCCCCTTCTGGGTAAAAGCTCCCCTAGTACCTACCTAGAGACCTCCCTTAGCACTGCATTCCCTTTCCATCGTGACCATTGTACCCTGAGTTTGCTCTGTCCCCTCCCCTCGGGCCCTTGTGGGAAGAGTGGTTAGGCCTCTTAGCATTCGCTCCAGGGAAAGTTGAAGACAGAAACAGAATTGGAAGTGGGGAAGAGTGGCAGAGGGAGAGGCATCTTGCTCCTGGGGACAGAGACAGAGGATGCGCAGACAGGTGGTGACCATTTGGAGTGGTCTGAGCCGGTCACAGTTAAGCCCCCACCCCTAGTCCATCTAATGGAGGTCCCCATCCTTGTTCTAGAGGCTCTGGTCTCATTCCAAGAACTCCACAAGCTTGAGGGATCTTGTGAGGAAGCCAGGAGAAGCAGGGCCCCCTGTCCTGTCCCTGAGGCCCTCCCTGCCCGTGCATTTTAAGGAGACATCCCTTTGGGGATATGGGTCCATGGTAGCTGGTCCATGTTTGTATCGATTTGGTCAGTACTCACCCCATCTTGTTAGGACCTGGGCCAGGACCACATAGACCTTGGAGAGGATGACGATGAAGATGAGGTTCACCACTGACCCCGTGAGGCTGGCAATCCGTGGAGCCTGATAGGGAACAGGTGATCAGAGCAGGCGCAGGAGCAAGGTCGGGAGCCCCATGAGAACAGGCAGCGGAAACTCACCCAGGCCGAGAGGAAGGCATTGTCTGACTTGGACACAATTACAGCCATGATGGCCCGGTACAGGATGATCGACACAAGGCACATAATCACCACAGCCACCTGCAGGACCAGAGAAGTCCCGAGCGCCCTGTGTGGACCCAGCACCCACACCCTCAGGCCGTAGGCTAGCACAGGCCTCTGGGTCCTTATCCAGGGGGTTCCCATGTGCAGCCTGCCTGTGTCCCCTGGGTTCTGCAGAGGTGGGGCAGGTTAGGCTGCCAGATGGTTACTGTATGTTGTCCTTACACCCAGTGTTGGAGAACTGTGCCCCATTCACCCCCTCTTTACAGCCCCAAATTGGGGTTCACAGTACCTGGAAAGGGCGGGGTCCTTTTAAGCAGTCTTTGGCTAGAAGGTACCAAAGGGATTAGTGTGCCCGGAATTCATTTTTAGAATCTGTCCCCTTGTTTAGTGGGCGCCCCAGTCACACATGGAGAAGCTCTTCCAGAACCCCTCATGGCACATACCCACCCCACACGAAAGCCCACCGCTTGGCCTAGGTTCAGACCCTCCCTTCCCTGAGGCACACAGCACGGGGCCTCTCTGGAGGGCAGTGAGGGTCTTAAGTCTGGAGGAGACAGCAAGAGTGGAAAGGCCCCCGGGGCTCAGGAAGACGGAGGTGGAGGAGGAAGGCAGGGTGGCCGGACCCCCGCACCATCATCAGGAGAACCACAGAGCCAGCCAGCATGCGGTGTACGCGGCGCTTCTCAGGAAAGTAGGGCTCATCTTCCCCGGTGACGGGGTTCAGGGCTGTCGTAGGAGCCCTTGCAGCGAACTGGGGCCGAGGCCTCTCCTGAAAGGGAACCAGGCTCAGGAGGGCGTGACCCTTGCCAGGAACCGCCCAGCCCAGCTCACTTACCTCAATGTCCTCATAGTCGGAGCAGTCCCAGCGGTAGGCCAAGGTGGCATTTTTCCGCTTCCAGTACTCCAGAAGCAGCACCGCCCACAGAGCCATGAACAAACTGAAGAAGACAGTGCCGCCATGGTCAAAGAGCCGCCCAGCCTGGAGGGGAAAAGGGGGAGAAGGGGATTCCCAGTCTTCCCAAGGACAGGCCCAGTTCTGGAGCTGACCATCTTCCCACACAGGCTGACCGTGGTGCCCCAGACCCACAGGAGAAGGTTCTGCTCAGCGGTCAAAAGAAGTACCTAGTTTCACCCAGATCTCTGTCTCTCTGTCTCTCTGTCTCTCTGTCTCTCTCTGTCTCTCTGTCTCTCTGTCTCTCTCCTCTTTTTTTTCTTTTCTTTTCTTTTCTTTTTTCTTTTTTTTTTTTTTTCCTGGAACACACTATGTAGACCAGGCTTGGTTCTGCCAGTGCCTAAGATCTTCCGCAGATGCCTTAGCTAGAGGTTCCCAGGTGATTTCTTGGCTAGTCTGAGGTTCCCAGGTGATTTCTTGGCTAGTCTGAGGTTCCCAGGTGATTTCTTGGCTAGTCTGAGGTTCCCAGGTGATTTCTTGGCTAGTCTGAGGTTCCCAGGTGATTTCTTGGCTAGTCTGAGGTTCCCAGGTGATTTCTTGGCTAGTCTGAGGTTCCCAGGTGATTTCTTGGCTAGTCGTCTTTTATGCTGGTTTGTTTTTGTCAACTTGGCACAAGCTAGGGTTATCTGGGGAGCGGGAACTTCAAATGAGAAAATATCTCCATCAGATTGATCTGAGGGAAGTACGTGGTGTGGTTTCTTGATTAATATTGATGAGAGAAGGCCGGTGGGCAGCAGCCCCCTGGGCAGGTGTAAGAAGGGTCCCTGGAGGTGTAAGAAATCAGGCTGAGAGAGTGTCTGGTGAACAAGCCAGTGAGCAGCACTCCTCCATGGTCTCTGCCTCCGTTCTTGCCTCCGGGTTCCTGACTTGAGTTCCTGTCCTGACTTCCCTTCCTGGCGGGCTGTGATCAGAACGTGTAACCCAAGCCGCTTTTGTTCATGGTGCTTTATGACAGCAATAGAAAGCAAACCAAGACAGCCATGTCTCACGTATAGCAGTAAAAGCGACTGTGACACTACGAGAGTCATTTGTGAGACATACCAGACCTAACCTGAATGCCAGGTCGGGGGCAGCGGGGTTGACAGAGCTCGCAGAGGGCTCTCTGCCTGCACTGACAGAGCGAGCCAGGACCCTATAGGAGCTGCCTGCCCTCAACACCCTGACCCCAGCTCTCACTCCATACCTGGGCCAGGGTGCAGGCACTGGAAAGCGGCCAAAAAGAACAGTCAGAGCAGAGCGGGCACATGTCAAGGCCGTCCGAACTGTGGCACAGCTCCTGCCTGTGAGGTACAGATGTGGTTCCAGGCGCCCAAGGACCGCACCGCCTGCAAGTTATCACCACTCCCCACCTTCCCGGCATCACTGCTCTGCCAGCCCGAGAACTCTCAGTAGTCGTGTTACTTGGGGGACAGGGTCTCACGGACCCCAGGCCGGTTGAACTTGGTGTGTAGCTGAGGGTTCCTTGAGGCTCCCCCGGGGCTGCAGGTGTGCAGCAGCACATCTGGCTTGTGAAGCGCTGGGAACCAAAGCCACGGCCTCACATAAGCTTGGCGGGCACTCTATCAATTGAGCTACAACTCCAACCCCACCCAGCATTTCTTTAAAAAGAGTTGTTGTTGAAAGCGCGCAACAATGATAGTGAAAGGTAACTTTCTGGACTTTCAGCTACACAATAAAGTAAAACGCAAAGCCAGTCATTTGTTATAGGGAAAGCCCATACTATCTAAGGACAAAAGGTTGAGTGTCAGGACCAGCCTGGGGACACCCCTGACAAGCTGTTATTAGTGCCATGGGGCACAGGAAGCCTTGGGAGCTAAGGTAAGGGGGGCACTTACGTTGGTATGTCTGAGAACACTAGGAAACATCCCACCAGGAACACCACCGTGCCCACCACTGCTGCAGGCAGGAGCCAGCCTGTGTAAAACCCTGCGGAGGGGAAGCCCAGGGTCCATGGTTAGAAATTGGGTGTTCTCTAGGGGTGAATCTGCTTATGGGACCCAGGTTTAGCTCAAAGGGAACTAGAACCTCTGGAAGGATACTGAGAGGCGTGGGAGTCTCATCTGGCCTTTGACTCTTGAGCGTCTACCCTCACCTCTGGACTCTCCCACCATGTTGGCTCAGTGGCAGGGTCCCCTTGACTCCATCTACTGGGTGCTTTTTGTTGTTGTTTGGTGTTTGAAACAGGATTTCTGTGTCACAGCTCTGGCTGTCCTGGAACTTGCTTTGTAGACCAGGCTGGCCTTGAACTCACAGAGATCCACCTGCCTCTGCCTCTCAAGTGCTGGGATTAAAGGTGTGCACCACCACCAGCCCGGCCCCTCTGCTTTATCTCCTGATTTTGTCCCCTAGCATGTCCCCACCTCCAACTGCTCACTGGTGTCTTTCTGAAAGACACAGGATGCATTGCAGCTTGAACCCCAGTGGAGGTGTGGGTCATTCTGGACCCACCTTTACCCCCACACTCCACCAGGGCACCTGGACCCCCGAAGTACCCCACACCCACCAAACGTGCATCTACTTTCTTTCTGTGGGGTCAGCCTGGTCCCCACTGACCCTGTGAGACTAGGAGGACACCTACAAAATGTCCTCTGTCTGGAGCCTAGCTGAAGAGTCCTTCTTTCCCCGGCCCCGGAAGTCCTCCAGCAGAGCCGTACTGGACAGCAGGAAAGGCAAATCCCAGGATGGGGAAGGAGGGTCAGAAGGCAGACCCCAGGGAGGGCAGCTTGTCTCTAAGGTGCCAGCCTGACTGAGACCAGCAGAGAATGATTGGAGTAGACACCCCATAGGGACGGCTTTTCTCTCAGGACACACTTTCCTGAGGGAGCTTCCCAAAAGGGGAAGGGTGCTAGTCGGGGTCAAGAAGACCCCACAGACCAAGGGACTCGAGTGTAATGCCTAGTGTTGTTGTGGGAGGTTGTACACTGAAATTGTGCTGCTGTGATTGGTGTAATAAAAGCTGACCGGCCAATAGCTAGGCAGGAGCTGCAACTCTGGGAAGAAGGCAGAGTCACCGGCCAGACCACGCAGAGTGGAAAGTACAGAGAGACAAGGTAACAAGCCATGGGACAGGATGTAGATGGCTCAGTGGTTACGAGCACTGGCTTCTCTTCCAGAAGACCAGGGTTCAATTCCCAGCACCCACGTGGCAGCTCATAACTTTCCATAACTCCTGTTCCAGGGGATCCCACACCCTCACATAGACACGCATGTGGGCAAAACACCATTGTCCATAAAATACACATAAGTTATTTTTTTAAGTTATAAGAGCTGGTGGGACAAGCCCAAGCTAAGGCTGAGCTTTCATAATTAATAATAATTACGTCTCCATGTCACTATTTGTGACACTGTAGAAAAAACTCCGTCTACATGGTGTCTGTTTTATTATCCGGGGAATAAGGTCTGGCAGTAGAATTATCCCAGAGGGCAGACTGTTGTAACTCAAAGACCAAGCAGAGAGACAAGACTCACCAAGCCAGGCGAAGTAGAGAGCCACCTTCTCCCCGAAGTACTGGCGCACGTGGTCCAGCGGCTGGTACTTGTTCCACTTGCCCCAGCGAGCCCAGTGCTGGAATAAGACTTGGCGCTGGGTGAGACCCAGGGCCTGCGAGTTCTCTGGAACTGCAGAGAATGGGCCCTGGGAATAAGAGACCATTGAGCTGGGCCTCTCCATGATGTTTTAGCTCTGCCCGCTAGTCACCCCCGCCCCACCCCCCAGGGCACCTCCAGGAATGGGAACTTCAGTGCTGACCCAGACCCACAATTCCACCCTCTCCAGTGCAGGCAATGTAGTCACACTGGGGGATGGGGAAGAAGTATCTGAAGGGAAGGATGGGTTGAGTTCCCTTGACTCCTTGGAGTACTGAGCACCCAGAGCAGGGGATGAATCTGAAAGAGTCAGCCAGGACAGAGACTGGGGTGCAGGTTGACCAACAGCGCTGTGGGAATGTCCAGGCCCAACACATATGCTGTGTGGTACCCGCGCTATGACCCACTCCAACACGAAGAGTAATGCCATTGTAAGACGTGTGTGTGTGTGTGTGTGTGTGTGTGTGTGTGTGTGTGTGTGTTGGGGATGCCTGACATTTCTACACCCACTTCATGGTCTTCATGATATCAAGCAGGTTTCATGGGTATGCATGACTCAAGATGTTTCAGGCATCCCCTGTGGTAGAAGGCTGCAGAGAAGCTAGAACACAAATCACCCTGACTACACACGGGCTGCACAAGGATGGCAGTGTGGGTGTCAGAGCATCACCAGGCGGCTATTATAGTGACTCTGCCCCAGACTGCCAGCTCCCAGGTAGGGAGAAGGGTGCTGGAGACCTCCCTATCTTTCTTAGTGAGAGATGCTGCCTCTGGAACCCAGTCTTATGGAGACATGGTATACTTGCCAGGGACCCCGAGCAAGGGCAGGAGACCAAGCTGAACCTTCAGCCTCCAACTTGACTACTTCACATTAGAAGGCTATGCATTTAGTATTCCTGACCCCAGGGCTCACCCCTACAGCTTCCTGTGGGCAAAAGTATTGGGGGAACTCATAGTCCACCCTAGTTCCACCCCCAGCCCCGAGACTCACGTCATGCAGGGGGAAGGCTGCCCTGAAGACACCTTCTGCCAGCAGCTGGTCAATCCCAAACAAGCCTTTCTTCTTGTGGCCGTATCGAGTCTTGGCCAGGATCTCAAACAGCTGTGTGTGGGCGGAGGATAGCACCTATCACTGGTCACGTGATGGCAGCACAGTAGGGAGACCCATCTTGGTGCTGAAACCTTGGGTGACCTCTTATGATCCCCAGTGACAAGTAACGATATTGATGGAGTGTCCTCCAGGCCTTGAAATCCAGGTCCTATGTCACAGTCGCACATTCATGACCCCACCGGTAGGGACAACAGTCATTCTGCCATCTTACACACTCAGAAGCCTAAATTAGTCACACGGCTCCTTAAAGTCCAGCCTGGGTTGGAGCCTGGGCCTAGTCATGCATGACTTGCATGGACCCCTGTTCCAGAAGGATCAGCTCTGTCAGGACACCTATCTGGGGTGGGAAACCTCTGCCTTGGTGGTGGCCGCTGTAGCAGTGACCTTTGGCGGTCATAAGTGTGTGATTCAGGCCTGTCTAGGTCCTCCTGGCTATATGCTGTTGGTGCATACCTCCTAATGCAGTGGTTCTCAACCTTCCTAGTGCTGCGACCCTTTAATACAGTTCCTCCTGCTGTGGTGACCCCAACCATAAAATTATTTTCATTGCTACGTCATAACTGTCATTTTGCTACTGCTATGAATTATAACGCAAATAGTTGTGTTTTCTGATGATCTTTGGTGAACCCTGTGAAAGGTTCACTTGACCCTCAAAGGGGTCGAGAACCGTAGGTTGGGAAACACCTAGTGCCTCGGATCTGCCCCAGTAGCCTGGTTTTGACAGATTAGCTTAGGATATACTGAGACCACTTCTTTGTCTGTTCTGGCCAGCCGGGAGGATCACCTCACCCAGGCCTGGTACCTTGGCTGTCTGTCACAGAGGTCCTGGACCCCAGATTGTGGAGGGCACCGGATCGAGAGCTGGCTCTCTCTCGACTCAGTGCTGTCTGGACGTTTGCCCCACCCCCACTGTCCTGCACGCAGACCGTATCCACCCTCTATAGGCAAGGTCAGAGGCAGTCTCTAAGGCTCCCGCCCTCTGGCCATAGCATCTGCAGCAGACACACTCCACTCACAATCTGGTGCCTCTTGGTGCTGGTGAAGAAGGTGTCCTGGTTGTCACTCCCAAGGAACCTGCAGAGGTGAAAAAGGTTTAGAGATCTGAGAGTATGGGGGAGGGGGGTTGCCTCACGTACCTAAGTAAAGGCACGAGCAGACGTGGCGGACAAGACTGCACACAGAGGCCCACACACAGAGGCCCACACACAGAGGCCCACACACAGAGGCCCACACACACAGGCCCACACACACAGGCCCACACCCAGAGGCCCACACACACAGGCCCACACACACAGGCCCACACCCAGAGGCCCACACACACAGGCCCACACACACAGGCCCACACCCAGAGGCCCACACACACAGGCCCACACACACAGGCCCACACACAGGCCCAAACACAGAGGCCCACACACACAGGCCACACACAGAGGCCCAAACACAGAGGCCCAAACACAGAGGCCCACACACAGAGGCCACACACACAGAGGCCCACACACAGGCCCAAACACAGAGGCCCACACACACAGGCCCAAACACAGAGGCCCACACACAGAGGCCACACACAGAGGCCCAAACACAGAGGCCCACACACAGAGGCCACACACAGAGGCCCACACACAGAGGCCCAAACACAGAGGCCCACACACAGAGGCCACACACAGAGGCCCACACACACAGGCCCACACACACAGGCCCACACACACAGGCCCACACACAGAGGCCCACACACAGAGGCCCACACACAGGCCCAAACACAGAGGCCCACACACAGAGGCCCAAACACAGAGGCCCACACACAGAGGCCACACACAGAGGCCCACACACAGAGGCCCAAACACAGAGGCCCACACACAGAGGCCACACACAGAGGCCCACACACACAGGCCCACACACACAGGCCCACACACACAGGCCCACACACACAGGCCCACACCCAGAGGCCCACACACACAGGCCCACACACAGAGGCCACACACAGAGGCCCACACACAGGCCCAAACACAGAGGCCCACACACAGAGGCCCACACACAGAGGCCCACACACAGAGGCCCACACACAGAGGCCCACACACAGAGGCCCACACACAGAGGCCAAGGAGGACGACCACTATGCTAGATAGATTCAGTTCTCAGTTTTGCTACAACAGATGCTACGCACCACACACATAAGGCAAGGGAAGCAAACAGTTGGTACAGAAGACAAGGCCCAGAGCAGAGTGTTAGGCCCGCTAAGAAGCCTTTAGCTTGCCTGCCCCGAAGCTTGTAAACAAGGACTAAAGGCTCAGGAGAAGGGGGTCAGGGGTCACAAGAGTCCTGGGTGCTTCATTAGTGGCGGCAGCAATGATTGAGGATAGGTCTAAGCTTTGTGTGGTCACACAATGGCTCTGTCTAGTAATGAATATGAGGAGACTCCTGGAGTTCCTGAGGGAGGGCTGTCCACATACGTGTTGTCTCCCTCGCCAGCCAGGGAAGGTCTAACAGGGGAGTCCATTAACCCAGGACACCGGAACAGAGCAAGAAATTGGACTACTGTGGTCTGAGTGTGTCTCACTAAAGTTCATGGACTGGCTGTGCAGGGTCAAGGTGGTGGAACCTTTAAGAGTGGGGTCAAGGGCCATGCGGTGGTGGCACCCCTTCAATCCCAGCACTCGGGAGGCAGAAGCAGGCGGATCTCTGTGAGTTCGAGGCCAGCCTGGTCTACAAGAGCTAGTTCCGGGACAGCCTCCAAAGCCACAGAGAAACCCTGTCTCGAAAACAGGAAAAAAAAAAAAAAAGGAGTGGGGTCAAGCACGGTGGTGGGGCACACGTCTTTAATCCCAGTCCTTGGGAGTCAGAAGCAAGTAGATGTCTGAGTTCAAGGCCAGCCTGGTCTCTATAGCCAGTTCCAGGACAGCCAGAGTTACATAGTGAGACTCTAAGAAAAGAGTGAGGGCCAGCCAAAGGCATGAGGTCACACGGATTCCACTCTTGGAAGGGACCGATGCTGCTTTGTCTCAGGAGAGACTCGGCTGTTAGAGGAAGCCAGACAACTCTGTGTGCCTTTCCAGGCATGGCAGCTCCCATGCCATCTCTCTCCTGCTGTGTTGTAGCTGCTCCGTCTAGCCACAGCTGAAACCGCCAATGCTGAACTTCCAGATGTGCGAGCTAAATGAAGCTAGTGTGCAGTGGGAGGGAAGAATAGGCCGGCAATGATCGGTCACCACGTATCACTGCCCATTTCCTGCTTTCTCCTCATGTGCGTGTGTGCGTGCGTGTGTGTGCGTGCGTGCGTGTGTGTGTGCGTGCGTGTCTATATATGTATACATACATTTCCTGCTTTCTCCTCGTGTGCGTGTGTGCGTGTGTGTGTGCGCGTATGGACATATGTGTGTCTATGTATACACACCTGTACATATATGTATACACACTGTGTATTCGTGACATGTGTGTACATTCCACAGTGCATGTGTAGAGGTCCCAGTACCCAGGGACTTGTTGAGGCAGGGTGTCCCTAAACTCTGCTGCACTGTACACTTCTGGTAGCTGGCCTGTGAGCTTAGGGCAATTCTCACCTTAGGAGTTCTGGGATTACAGATGTGCACCATCACATCTGGCTTTTGGGTGGGTTCCAGGGATTGAACTCGGGTTGTCAGGCTTGCATGACAAGTATTTTGACTTGTGAAGCCGTCTCCCCTGCCTCTAACATCTCTCAACAAACTACCCATCTTTGGGTTTTTGTTTTAGTAACAGATTGTGACTTGGACCTGTTTTGTGATTTGGGGCATGTTTGTCTCACAGCACGGCCACCCTATCCTGACTAATGCAGGTGACTTCCCAACACACAGTTATTCAGTAGGCTTGTTCACCTGGGATTCAGATGGTGTTCTCTGAAAATCCCAGGTGAGAAGAGCATTTGAGAGAAAGCATGGTGTTTAGTTAGTTCATTCACAGTCTCGTTCATACGTCCATCTTATCCATTCACAGTCTCGTTCACGCATCCACCCGAGCTATTGGGGCTGGCTCCACAGGAGGCTGTCCTGCTGAGTGCAAGGAGCTTCCCTGTCATACCACTGCAGCTTGCTGGCTTTGAACTGGCAGGAGTAGTACTCTGGAGGCGTGTCCGGCACCTGCTCCAGCAGGATATTGGGGATGCCCAGCCACTCCAGGAGGGTGGCCGACCAGTTGGATGCCTGGTTGGGTAATTCCTGGAAAGAAAATTGTTCAGAGGGAAATCTCCACAGCTGGGGAGGAGAGAACCTGGCCAAATCTGCAAATGGGATGCCAGTCAAAAAAGGCCTCAGCCGAGAGAAATAGCGTCTCTTATTCTTGGCCCCGCTACAGACCCTTCCCCTCTCAGGGTCTCGGCTCTGACAGTTGCTTGACTTATTAAAGTGAGGACCAGAGCTGCTCATGCACTAGGGAATGAAAGAGGTGAACAGTGTGTCTCTGTCCACCCCAGCACCACGCTGGTGACACCCACTATGAGCGGTCCAGGCATATTGTCCCGGGGGCACGGAGAGGTTGCGTCCTTCACCTGAGCACACGAGGCTGGAGCTGCCTCAGCAGATTGTCCTGCAGGGAACTGAGCCATCTTACAGCCTCTGCTCTCCTCCATACTGCCAGGCTTTTAAATCCCTGCACCCGTCACGCAGGGTGTCATCCTGTCCACTGTCACTCAGGGCATCATCATCCTGTCCACTGTCACTCAGGGTATCCCCTGTCCACTGTCACTCAGGGTATCCCCCTGTCCACTGTCACTCAGGGTATCACCTGTCCACTGTCACTCAGGGCATCATCACCCTGTCCACTGTCACTCAGGGTATCCCCTGTCCACTGTCACTCAGGGTATCCCCCTGTCCACTGTCACCCAGGGTATCCCCCTGTCCACTGTCACTCAGGGTATCCCCTGTCCACTGTCACTCAGGGTATCCCCTGTCCACTGTCACTCAGGGTATCCCCCTGTCCACTGTCACTCAGGGTATCCCCCTGTCCACTGTCACTCAGGGTATCACCTGTCCACTGTCACTCAGGGTATCCCCCTGTCCACTGTCACTCAGGGTATCCCCCTGTCCACTGTCACTCAGGGTATCACCCCTGTCCATGCAGGTTTTGAGGTCCCATGTGACAGTGGATAGAAGGGAAACTAGCGATCCCCATGGGAACACATCCAGGGAGTGATGGTTTCGGCAGCTGAGCCCAGTACATAGGCATCAATCAAAAGCAGTGCTGGGTGGGGACCCCATCTTCCCCTCTGCCACCGCACCTCCCGTACCTGCAGAGGCAGCTTCAGGCGCAGGTCTTCTGCATAGTAGCAGAGCACAGCCCAGGGTGCTCTGAGGAGGATGAAGTGAACCGCAGTGGTCTCGTCCTGGACATCATGCTGTAGGCACCAGGGGCTTCTGTGAGGGCCTGAGGGAGCTGCTATGTGCTCTGGGTCTATTCATACTTGGGAGAGGACTAACACTGGCCTGGTGCTGATGGACAGCCAATGGCCGGGCACCCTCTCAGTAGGAATGCTCACTTCCAAGGCCTATCTCAGGAAACTTGTGGTGACAGCATCTCTTCCACAGAGAGCTCACACCCGGGGCCCATGCCACCTGCATTCTCTTCCATGGCAATGACAACCTAAGCGATCCTTATTCAAAGTTTTTCGAGACAGGGTTTCTCTGTGGCTTTGGAGGCTGTCCTGGAACTAGCTCTTGTAGACCAGGCTGGTCTCGAACTCACAGAGATCCGCCTGCCTCTGCCTCCCGAGAGCTGGAATTAAAGGCGTGTGCCACCAACGCCCGGCTCCAACTGATTCTTATGGTGGGCCCTATGATGACAACAGCTCTTCTGGGGACAGAGGAAGGCGGCTGGGATGGCAGAGGATGAAGGATATGTATATAAGACCTGGCGATGAGGGCCATGGGGGATAAGACAGGGCTCTGCACACCCCCTCACCCTCAGATCCCCGTTGCCTGCTAAGCCCAGCACCTAGGGTTTACATGCCTATTCCATTTTTGCTTGCTCCCTGGAAACTTTAAGTCATTCTAATTGGTTTATACAAAACACACAAAGGGACCTTTGAATCCGCTAAATCCTATAAACACCAACAGTGATTGCAAATGACACATGCTGAGGAAAACTGGAGGTAGGCAATGGGTGGCAAAGATGGTTCCACCGACTGCCCGGAAGGTGTCAGGCCCTGTGAGAGAGCCTAGTGCATCAGGATGGATCCATGTTCTTGCTGGCCTGGGGTCTGCGGCTCCCCAGCCACGGGAAGGGTGTGTATCCAGCAGGACCCTGGGGCCTTGTGTGCTTTCCGTCTTTGGATAGTAAGCCCTCAGGCTTGTCGAGCAAAGTCATGCAGAATTTCCAGAGTCCTTCTCCTACCGCCACCTACCTGATCCATGTTCAGGCCAGCCAGACGAAGACTTTCCAGAAAGGTCTCCCTCCAGAACTTGTGTGTGTGTGTCTTGTCCTGGGCAGGACTCTCTTGGTTCCTCAGGTCTTCTTCCCAAACAAGAACAAAATCTGCAGGGATCAGTGGGGACGAGGGCAGTGAGTGTGGGCTGATGGAATGCAGGTTGCTGGGTCTCAGCTGGGGCACAGGGCTTGGGATGGGAAGTGAGGACCACGGGCCTTTTGGAGGCTCTTGCCCAGCCCCATCCTTAGTTGTAGTTAGGGCTGGAGGGCAGGGGAGTGTGCAAAGCAGATCAGGCACAGAGGCTGGGGAGGGGCTGGGCGTGTCCTGGGATCCCTTCCGTAGCTTGGTTCCCACAGTCTAGGTCCCAGATTCCTAATAGAACCTGTTGGGTGCCATTTCTTGGATCAAACAAAAGCACAACAATTGATCAAAATCAATAAGACAAAATTCATCAGAGGATACCATCAAAAAGGTGAAGGCAACACAGAGAATAGGAGAAAATATTTGCAAGATCTATTTCTTTCTTTTTTTCTTTTTCTTTTTTCTTTTTTGGTTTCTCGTGACAGGGTTTCCCTGTGGCTTTGGAGGCTGTCCTGGAACTAACTCTTGTAGACCAGGCTGGTCTAGAACTCATAGAGATCCGCCTGCCTCTGCCTCCCGAGTGCTGGGATTAAACGAGTGTGCGCCACCATCACCCGGCTGCAAGATGTATTTCTGATAAGGGACTTGTATCCACAATTTAGAGGACTTACAATTTAACAACTACACAGATACAGACTGATATTAGACACACACACACACACACACACACTCACACACATGAACAACCAACTTAAAAATGGGAAAGGTTTTGAAGAGACATTTGTCTAACGAAGATATGAAATGTCCAGCTGACACAAGAAAAGGCCATCAATATCATTAGTCATCAGGAAAATACACACCCGATCCATAGTGAGATAGTGTTATCTTTTCAGTGAGCAGTCGTCAGCACAGAGATGAAGGGCAGCTCTTTACTGAAAGCCCTGGCTGATGGGCTGAGGCCAAAGTAAGAGTTGTTGACCCCCAACGGGAGGTTTCGTTGGCTCGCATACTCCTCAGGCTTATGCATTCTACACACACTGTCACCCTTAAATCTCTTTCGGGCCCTGTCCCCAGGTTATACTTCAGACAATTTAAACCAAGACAGGGGACTGAAGTGTGGCCACTTATGCAGATGGGAGATTTACACCAAAAGATATTGCCACAATTACTCACTGTTACCCAGGCTTATCTTGTTCACCTGACAGAATTATGCTTCCCCCGATAAGAACACAGGGGAATTAATGGCAGATCAGACCTTAACCCTGTGCTACCTCCCTAAGCTGCCCTGTAGAGTCATGTCTTTGGTATGGGAACCGGGGCCTAATGGCAGCTCAATCCTCGTGTGTAAGCAAGCATTCACACACTAAATTTTGCTTGTCTCTAATAGCCCCGATTTGCAGACTTTTGGGGTAGTTTGGAGGCAGCACTCTAGCTAAATTACACTTGTGTGGCTTCCTGTCTCCTCAGCAAAGCTATGAGTAAGTCCTTTACAATACCGATTCCATCACACTGAGTTTCTTCTACATCAATAACAACATTTCACGCCCGCTGTGCCAATAGAGGCAATAGTAGGGGCTGTGCTATGTTGAGAGTGTGACCCTACACGCTGAGGTACTCGGTGCAACAGGGAACTCTCTTTGGAAAAGAGTTTGGCATTTATGCAAACAGTTAAACATTGAGTTACCTTATGACCTAGCAATGGCACCCAAAACTATCAACTCAAGAAAAATTAAAATATGTCCACACAAAAGTTTGTATGTAAATGTTCATCTTTTCCCCATTCACAACAGAAAAAGGAAAGAATAGGTAAACTTTGTGGTGTGTAAATTATTTATCAACAAAGCTGCTTTAAAACAATTGCCTTAACCCCCCCCCAAGCCGGGTGGTGGTGGTGCACACCTTTAATCCCAGCACTCGGGAGGCAGAGGCAGGTGGATCTCTGTGAATTTGAGACCAGCCTGGTCTACAAGAGCTAGTTCCAGGACAGTCTCCAAAATAAATAAATAAATGAATAAATAAATAAATAAATGAAGAAAAAAAGAAAAACCAAAAACCCAAAAAACAAAAACAAAACCCATCAATGCTAGACAGTGGTGGCACATGCCTTTAATCCCAGCACTCTGGAGACAGAGGCGGGTAGATCTCTGTGAGTTTGAGGTCAGCCTGGTCTATCTACTGAGCAAGTTCTAGGACAGACTCTAAAGCTACAGAGAAACCCTGAATTGAAAAACCAAATCAAACAAACAACCCCCCCCAAAAAACAAAAACCCACAAACAAACAAACAAAACCCCAAACCCAGCGATGTCAACATTTACGTCCCTTGACCATGAGCAGAGAGAATTGCTGGCCCCATGCAAACGTGCGCTCACTTTTCCGTGGAACCGTCTGGGTTTTCTGTGCCGTCTCACAACCCTCCAGCAGTGTGCATGTTTGCGTTGCCACAGACCTTTGTCTGGACACGCTCCTTTCTGCTTTGCTTTTCCATAAGAGTCATGCATAGGGGTGTGAGAGCCGTCCACTGTCCCTTTGCAGCTGCTGGGGCATGTGGGCCCTTGACCCCAGATAGAGCCTGGGCAGGTCCCACCTCGGAATGAAGGTGGCATTGGGCAGGTGGGAGCCATGGGCAGGGGGATGGTAGGAGAAGTAGACCTGAGACAATTAAGGGCAGAAAGACGTGGGTGCAAGAGAAAAGAGCCTGGGATGACCAGACTTTGAGGCTGAAAACCAGGAGGAACGGGCAGTCTGTCCTAGGGCTGGCGCGGAGCGGCCGGCATGGGTTTTCCTCTCAGCCTCCTGTCGGTTCAGACCTTCCTTTCCTGTTCACGCCCTGACTATTGCTCAGCAGGCAACTCTCTCCTTACCCTCAGCGCTACAGTTGTTCCCAGAGCACAGGGATATCACGGGAGGCCTGGTCATGGAGTGATCCAAGCCTGTTGGCCTCCGGCTGCCACCCGAGGCACCCCATTTGTGACCCCACCCCGGACCGAGTACAGATGGCTTACCAATCGGGGGTTTGGCAGAGCTCCCAACTCTGCTGGGGGCCACCTGCTGTTTACCTGCCTGAAGGAAGGAAGGACACCTTCAACACCCAACCACCAGGGTGACTCACTCCCACCCTCCCCCTCCCCGGCTGCTCCTTGTTCCCGCTTCTACCTCCGTGGTTCTCAACCTTCCTACCGCTGCGGCCTTTTGATACACAGTCCCTCATGTTGGGGTGACCCCCAACCATACACTTATTTCGTTGTTACTTCATAGCTGCAATTTTGAATTGTAACGTAAGCATCTGATATGCCGGATTCTGATAAGCAGCCCCGGTGAAATGAGAACCGAAGGCGTCTCGACCCGTAGGTTGAGAGCCGTGTTCTTCCTCCTTCTATGTCCCTCCCCCATCTCCTTTCCTCCTCAGCCTTTCACTCATCCAGTCTCCCTGCTCTGGCCTTGCCCCCGCCCACCCTGCTAGCAGAGGGCCATGACGAGAAAAGCTAGGAGCTGCAGGGCAGCACTGGAAGGGTGGGCTAGCCTTCACCATCCCCGTCTTCCCCACCAGTCTCCACCAGGCCTGTGGCAAGGAAAGCATTGGCAAAAACCATGGTCAGGCCTGTGCTAAATGCCCTTTATTTACCCTCAGATTACTGGGGCAGCCCTAGGGAAGGACCATGGCCTCCTGTGAGGCATCAGAGCCTGGGACCCACAGTATTCCCAGCTTCTTGGGAGGTCAATGGCCTTTCCAATAGAAAGAGACCTACAGACGGACTAGGGTAAGGCCAGAAAAATGGCACCTGGAGGGACTCTGTCCTTCTGTAGGAGATGAGGGCTGCCTTCTTGGTTTTGTTCAGGAGACCAATGTCTATGCCTTAGTTGCAAAGAAGCAGCTCAGCTGAGGCCAAAGGAAGCTGTGTAGACCAAGATGTTTTCCCTCTGGGGCTCCTCACCTTTGTAGAAGGCCTCTACCTATCTCTTGGGGGAATAATCCTTATCCCAAACCTAACTTCTGTTCCCTACTCTAACTATCCTTAAGGTAGCCCAGGCACACTGTTAACCTTGACCTCCTTCCCCTTCCACTAACCCCACTGCCCACCCAGCCAGGACATGACCCTGACTGCAATGCTCTCACGTGACCCTCCCTGCAATGCTCTCACGTGACCCTCCCTGCAATGCTCTTCTTCCTAGCAGGAGTGGGCTCTCTTCGTGGGCTGCTGTGCTGACAAGAAACCAGGTAACACACAGCTTTTCATTTCCAGAAGAGAAAGTACGGAAGCAGTAAAACAGCGGGGCGTGGTCACTGTGCACTTGCCCCCTGTCCTCTGGCACTTGCGTCAGAATTCATGGGTGACTCGCCATACTCCCCACCCCTCACATCCATATGTGGCTGTGTCTGGCCCTGGTTTCCTCCCTTTCACAGTGGTTCTGGCAGAGAGGGACCAGACCCAGGACCTTGGCCCTATCTTTGCCTCCTCTCCCTTCCCTGAGCCTCCTATCTAATAGGATCTCTGCTTATCCCTCCAAGTTTGAGAGGTGAGCGGTGGGTGACCTGATTGTGTGCCAAGAAGGCATCTGTCCTCCCTGTCATCCAGGGTTGGGGACACATCTGGATGCTGTACCCACTTTTCAAGGGCTCTGAGACAAGGGCGAGAGAGTGCAGGTCCTGACTGGGACGGGACGCCTCCCAAAGCAGACAGCACACAGGAGCCTCATGGCCCAGAGTCTAGGGAGTGGGGAAGGGCACTCTCACCATGCTCGCCACTGCCCCTAGAGCTGAGGGTACCTCTGAGGCATGGGCTGTGCTTCCGTAAGAGGATCCGCTCCCTGATTCCAGGGAGGCCATGTCGATCAGCACCGCATCGTCTTCTTCCGGGGCGCGCCTCCGCAGCATCTCACTCCTGCACCACATCACAGCCAGAGGAGCCACAGAGGGTGGAGTAGTCAGTAGACACCAGTGAGAGCCAGCCCTGACGCTGTGGCAGAGCGTGGAGCAAACCTACTTTACAGGGCAGGAGACGGGCTCGTAGAAGTGGGCTCTGCTAGGGCCAGACAGCATTGTCCTAATGTGGTCGTGCGAGGATACCCACATCCTGGATCACTAGCTGCAGGAGACAGCCAGCCACCGAAGGGAGTATCTAGGAGCCTAGCATAGCATCCACCCATCCGCTCGTTCATCCAGTAATGTAAAGCAGTGTCTCAGCATGAGGTTGGCATGCAGACCCTGCCCACCAACTTCCTATCGAGGCCACCTGGACGGCGAAGGGTAGACAATGCCTAATGCCCTTTAAGGCCACCTGCCTTTGGAGTAATTCTGGAGAACTTGCTGCCAGGACCCCAGGCTCCCCTAGCAAGACAGAGCAACCGCCTTAGGGAGTCCTATGGGGCCTCCATGCCAGCCTGTGACCTGTGGCCCAGGAAGGAGGTAGGTAGGAGTAGGGCTGTTGTTCAGGTGGGCAGAGTCAAGCGACTTCAGGAAGAGGGATGGATTGCTCTCGTTCCAATTCCCTATTTCAGATAAACTCTGCCCAAACCTTCCGCTCCTGCCAGGACTCTATTATAACATGGGGACCCCAGGAGTGAGGGAAAACCACAAGGTGCTCTTGGAGCAAAGGCTCCGGAGCTTATGTCACCTGATGGGTAGGACATGGAATAAGGACAAAGGAGTCCCAGTCCAGACAGGACCTGTTATGAGCAGGTGGAATGCTAACTCCTTACAGCATGGTGTCCCATTCAAATTCACGTTGAACACTTATCCCCGCTAGTCTCTAGGGCTTGGAGCAAACACTGTGCCAGGCCTCTGGGGCCCAAGAGTAAGCCCCCGCACTGGCTCTCACAGATCAGAGTGTGGCACCTCCGTGCTGGCTCAGTTTTCTGGAGTCCATCTCCCTTCTGCTGTCCCTGTGGCTGTCCAGAGGGAGGTCACCCAGCCTACCTGCCACAGTGGCTTCCAGAGGAGACAGCCTGCCCATCAGCACAAGCCTGGTCTCAGCAGGAGGGAAATCAGGCCCAGTCGTGTCCCTAGGGCCCACCTGAGCTGTGGCTGCCACTCACCTGCAGCTGCCTCACAGGGCAAGATGGCTGGAGAGAGGCTCTTGGCGCAGCTGGCCACCGGGAGGTCTATAGTGGCTCTGGGCAGGATCTGCCTTTGTTTAAAAAGGGGGTGTGGGCTCTGAGCCTGCAAACACAGTCAGCCCGTTTTCCCTAGTGCCTTCACGTCACACACCCTACATGCAAATCCGACGGGCCTCTGGCGCCTTATTTGCTTAGCGATTCCAGTGGCAGCAGGTCTGCATGCCATAAGGGAAGTTCAGAGATCGTAGCTACAGGACCAGCCACAGGTATCCACCCCCGGTCCCCCCAGGCAGTCCTGTTTATGTGGGCATCACAGGGGTCAACAGCACTGAGAAAAGAGTAAGGGCTTTACTAAGCCTCGGAGTGTGAGCTTAGATACTGTTGTGAGAACGCTGTCAGGAACACAGACAGTTTGTGCTTTTCCACAATGTCACATTTTATTGACAACAAATTCACAAGGTACAGCATCTTCAATGGCAGCAATTTGCCAGATACTCCTGCTTTCCTTGATAGTCATGGCCGAGGCAAACACGGGTTCTTTTATTCTAGTCTTAGTTACTCCCAGATGAAACACTACATATCACACAGTAGCTATGTCTTTATATATGTATGTGTACATGTGGATTGTGGAGTGGCTGCAATGGGGTTAAAAGATGCAAGGAGTTTCCAACAGGCCTGAGAGGCCAAAGCTGGGAAACTGCCAGGCACAGGAGCCTCAGGTAAGGAGCCTCAGGCAAGGAGCTAAAGGGAACTGGAGAAGTGGTGGCGCTGAGTCAGGACACTGTGGGTCACAGGGTTAGGGCGGAGTGGGAGAGCTGAGTGAGCTGCCCGGGCAAAAGGGCAAGACTGGTCCAGGCAGAGGAACAGGCGGAAGGATGGAGGCATTGCCGGACGGGAGAACAGGATGATGGGAAGACTGGATTTGAGAAGGCTGCTTCAGCAGTGGGAGCAGAGAGCCTCTGGGACAGGCGGGAGCTGTCAGCCCGTTAGTCAGTCCTTGATACACGCTGGGAAGTCAGAAGACAGGACCATGGGGACTGTTGCTAGGTGTTCACTTCTGTATGGGGTTCAGATGAAGGCCTTGCGTACTTTCCTTGGCCTGGTGTGCTCAGCAAATTCTTGGACCTGATTTCCTGATTGATATATGTAAAGATTTATTTATTTATTATGTATACAGTGGTCTGCCTGCATGTATGCCTGCAGGTCAGAAGAGGGCGCCAGGTCTCACTACAGATGGTTGTGAACCACCATGTGGTTGCTGGGAATTGAACTCGGACCTCTGGGAGAGCAGTCAGTGCTCTTAACCGCTGAGTCATCTCTCTGGCCCACCATCCTGATACAATTTTAATATGCCCTCATGCTCCTACAGTTCCAACCCACCATGGTAAATTATAGAGTAAGTACCCTTTCTATTCCCAGAAGTAGTCATTAGTCTGTACCAGGTGGATAGTGTTGGACAGATCACCTACCATCCTCCATCTGGAATACAAAGCTGCTTGTAAATGGAGTCTCTCAGAGGTGGGCAATGTGAGAAGCCACTGTTTCACACAAAATGGAGTAACTTAGGGCAAGGAGCCGCCTGACTTCAACAGGCACGCACACCTTCTCTAGGCCTCCTGTGAAAGGGCTTGCTAAATGGAGCAACTCGAAACCTCTGCTCTTGTGTTAATTTCTTTGAGACAGGGTTCCCCTGTGTAGCCCTGGCTGTCCTGGAACTCACTCTGTAACCCCGGTCAGCTTCAAACTCAGAGATCCACCTGTCTCTGTCCTGTGAATATTGGGATTAAACATGTGCACTACTATGTCCAGCTATTTTTGTTGTTTGTTTTGCTTTTAAGACAGGATCTTGCCATGTAGCCCAGGGTGGTCTCAGACTATGGGCACACCTACTGCTTTAGCCTGTAGAGTGATGGGACCAGAGGCATCCACAACAGTCCAGGCTCCGGTCTCTTACTTTTGGTAGTGATCAGAGCCTGCCACTTTACACTACAGCAGCGGGAGGGCAGGAGAGCCTTCAGGAATGTCTGTATGTAAAACACCCAAAAGGATTCTCATCCCTGGGCCTAGAGTTTTAATTTAAAACTCATTCTTATTTATGCAGGAATGTGTGTGTGTGCATGTACACCCATGCACACATATCATCACACATGCGAAGGGCAACTTCTAAGAGTCACTGTCCTCCCCCCACCATGTGGGTTTCCAGGGATTAAACTCAGGTTGCCAGGCTTAACCCACTAAGCCATTTCTCTGGCTCCCATGGGCTAGTTTTTCGTGTGTAGGCTAACAATCCTATAAGTTGTTTTTCTCAAACTGTATTACTTTTTGCAGGAGGAAGAGAAAGAACTAGTCAGTACAGATGGCTTGTAGATCCCAGATGCTAGGGAGAGCTAATCACCTAATCATTGACACCAGCTTTACTTTGGCTTTAACTTTTTCTATTGGCTTATGTGACTTTTCTAAGTCCATAACAGGGGCTGGAGAGTTGGCCTAGTGGTAAGAAGCACTTGCTGCTCTTGCAGAGGGCCAGTGTCCAATTCCTAGCATCCACAGGACCACTCACAACCATTTATCACTCAGTTCCAGGGGATCCAATGTTCTGGCTTCCAAGGGCAATGCAGAAACAATACAGAGAAACCTTGTCTCGTAAAACCAAAAACCAAAAACCAAACAAACAAACAAAAAACAAGGGCAATGCAGTACACTTAGATGGAGGGAAAACATTCGTACACATTAAAAAAAAAATCCATTCCATAGCTAGAGAGTGAGCTCCTACCTAATCCTGCCCAAAAAGCTAGTTATCCATGGGGTGGGAGGGGCTATTGTGATGTCTGGGTAGGTTGGCTGCAGGGCCCTAGTATGCTTCCTTCCTTCCTTCCTTTTTTTTTTTTTTTTTTCTTGAGACAGGGTTTCTCTGTATTGCTTTGGAGGCTGTCCTGACACTCACTCTGTAGACGAGGCTGGCCTGGAACTCACAGGGATCCCCTGGCTTCTGTCTCCTGAGTGCTGGGATTAAAGGCGTGCACCACCACCATCTGGCTGGTATGCTTCCTTTCTTACTGGGCTGGAGTCCTAGCAAATTGGGTCACAGGCTCCCACACCTAACCCTGGAGGTTCCCTACACCTTTCCAGCCTGCTGTCCCCAGACTGTTTTGATGTCTCTCAGGCTATATCTCACAGAGGTGAGAGGCTCTTTGACTACACTTGGTATGTTGTACCTACCACACTTGGTCTGGTACCTTCCTAGGGTGCCCCAACCTCTTCCCTCCCTAAAACACCGTCTCCAGGTTTGGTGCCCGGGGCAGGGAGAGGGAAACTGGGTAGAGGCTATAGATCAGCCCTAACCCTCTTTCCCCCACCTGGCAGGAGGCAGGTCCCTGGCTGCCCCTCCACTGCCCCATGCCCCATGGTGGTAGAGATGAAGTTGCTGCAAGGTTGGGAGTGTTGAGACACTGCCTTGTCCCATCTCACGTTCCTGATCCCAGCTGGCAGAGCTGGCAGGTGGGCCTGGGATGACCAGGACAGCAAAGCAGAGGGGAGCAGGTCCTATGGGCTCCGAATAGGAGGGTGCAGATGGGGTGAACACGGACTCTCCCAGGAACAGGGCCAAGACCTTCCCCCCTCTGGTTGGGGAGTGATGTGGAAGAGGGACTTGAAGGGGTCATTTCTGGAGGGCCTGGTGATGAGAGAACTTACCTGTGGGTCCAGCCCTCCTAGCAGAGGCCTCCTGGTGTGTTGGGTTCTTGGGGGGAACAACCTTGAAGGGACTAAGTACTCAGTCTAGCCACAGACAGAAGTAAATCTTGTTTAGTAGCTACACATGTTTGACTAGACATCAAAGAAGCCAGAGCTCAGAGGCAGATGTTAGGAAATAAAAGGGTTCACTTTTATACAGTGTGTTTCCTATGGCTACTGCCTAACTGCCATCTTAAAACACACAAAGGGCCAGGCAGTGATGGCACACACCTGTAATCCCAGCACTCAGGAGGCAGAGGTAGGCAGACCTTTGAGTTCAAAGTCAGCCTGGTCTACAGAGTGAGTTTCAGGACAGCCAGGACTACACAGAGAAACCCTGTCTTGAAAAACCAAACCAATCCAAACCAAACCAAATCAACCCCCCCCCACAAAGGACACATCACACAGCCCAGTCCTGGAGATGTCCGGTTTAAGTGTGTCACTAGACTAAGGTCAAGGGGTTACCAGGCCTCATTCTGTGCTAGGGTCTGGGAGCAGCCCTTTCCAGTTCCGAGGGAAAGGCTGGTCTATGGATTTTCCTTTTCTTCTCTCTCTCTCTCTCTCTCTCTCTCTCTCTCTCTCTCTCTCTCTCTCTCTCTCTCTCTCTCTCCCCCTCCCCCTCTCCCTCTCCCTCTCTCTCGCTCTCTGTGGCTTTGGAGGCTGTCCTGGAACTAGCTCTTGTAGATCAGGCTGGTCTCGAACTCACAGAGATCCACCTGCCTCTGCCTCCCTAGTGCTGGGAGTAAAGGTGTGGGGCACCACCGCCCTGCGGATTCTCCTTCTGATTTATGGATTCTCCATCTTCACAGCCATCCTTGCATCTAACAATCCATCTTCCAGTCACATTTCCCCACAGTGCCTTTGAGTTTTACACTTAACCCAAACTGCATCCTCCTTTCCTGCTGTATCAGGTCTCAGAGATTAGATCCCAGATGTCTGAGGGTTCAAGTTGGCTTCACTTTTGTGGGCAGCACTGGACAGGGCCTTAAGTTTTTGTATGCATATTTGATTGTTTTGGCAAGGAAAAGCTTCTAAAAGTGGAGCTGAGTGAAGGAAGAACTTAGATGATGTAGGGCCATTGCAGGCCCAGGATGCTGTGAGCTCCATGATCTCAAGACAACAGTTTATTCCTTAAACTCCAACTTGAGTTACTTAGTCCTCCTCACAAGCTTCCCGAGCTGTAGTCAAGAACGGCTTTGTTATTGTAGGGTTTGCTGTATTATTTTGTGGTGCTGGTGATCAAACCAAGGCCTCCCACACGCTTGGCAAGCACTTGGACACTGAGCTGCAACCCCCAGCTAA